TCTTCTGGTGACGTTTCTGGGGACGCAAACCATGAGCCCTATTGCCGATACTTTGGTCAACTCACGATAAGTAATTTGTGATTTCTGGCTACACTCCCTCAGGCTCCAGACGGCTTCTGTAACTTCTGTAAGTGGAACCAAGTCTCCCAAAGGGGGCCTTGGGGAGGGTAACTCCTGGTTGAGACATGAAGTCCTGATGTGTCCCACTTGCACGCATGAGCAACGGAGAATCCGATCAGCTGGATAATTTTGCTTGAAGCCTGCAAATAATTTTGGGCTGTGGTCTTATCCCAAAGCTGTGACTTGCCGTGAAAAAGAATCTATTTGGGCCACAGTTGAGTGAAACAGATCCAACTTGAGTCATTTCTATTTGAGGCAGCCAGTGAGTGGAGGTCACCCACAAGAAGCTCCCAGAATCTGTAAAAGGAACCAAGTCTTCCAAAGGGGTCCGTTCGGGAGCTTCCATGTTAGGGTGGGGGAGGGTACACCTACTAGGTCCTCCAGTAGAGAGGTTAGAATAAGGGTACCAACTTTTTTCAGGACGTCTATATTAGTAATACCCTCCCTCAGACTAACATGGAAGCTCCCAGAAGTGTAAAAGGAACCAAGTCTTCCAAAGGGGTCCGTTCTGGTACCAACTTTTTTCAGGACGTCTATATTAGTAATACCCTCCCTCAGACTAACATGGAAGCTCCCAGAAGGCCTCTGTAAAAGGAACCAAGTCTTTCAAAGGGGTCCGTTCCGAAGCTTCCATGTTAGCCTGGGGGAGGGTACATCTACTAGGTCCTCCACTTAGTTTGAGGTTAGAAGAAGTTGGTACCCAGTTTTTTCTGTAGTCTATTTTAGTAGGGGAACCCTCCCCCAAAAAAGCAACGGTAAAGGGCACTACCGGGGGACCTAGTCTAAATAGGGGGTGCCAAAAAATTGGAGAATCATTCAACACGTTTGGCTTACGCTTTGGAAAATGAGCATGCTATTTCGCCCCACAGGAGGCACCAAGACAAAAGTCGGCCTCTTTCCCGCTTTGGCAACCGCCCAAAAAGGGGAATAAGTCCAATTTGCGGCAACATTTGATTTATGATGCCGCGCCATTAGCAGGGAGCAGGAACTCCAAAAAAAACAAAGCATCATGAGTAAGGTTGCAAATCCTGTTCGTGAGGTCGCCATGCTTAGGTTCTTGGACTCAAGCAATGACTATGAAAATTTCACTGTTGGGTATGTCTGTTTTTTGGGTTACCCGCCTTTTGGTTGGTTTTAATAGGAAACCACAACAAGAAATCCCCAAAACAAGCGTTGCGATCCTTTTTGGATCGCTTCCCGACGTAGTGGCTTGGAGCCGAACAAAACTGCATACTGCCGCCCCACTCGGCCAAAAAACGGCCGCTCCAGGCAGCCCCTCGAAACCAGACCAAACCTAGGTCCTCCAGATTTGAGAGGTTAGAACAAGTTAGTACGCTTTTTTTTCTGTGGTCTATTTTAGTCGGGGAACCCTCCCACCAAAAAAGTTGCTAAAAGTTCTAGGGGTTGATTCCCCCAAAAAGTTGCTAAAAGTTCTAGGGGTTGATTCCCCATTCTTTCCAAAAAGAAACGGGAGAGAAAGGGCACCAATTGCTGGGGGACCTAGAGAAACCAAGGCCTGGGGATGTCACCGGCTCCAGCCGATGTCACGCCTCCGGCCGGTCGTCCTGGGAGGACACGCAGCTCTTCAGCTCTTTGAGGCCCCCGGTGCACCGCGCCAGCAGATCTCAGGAGCCGAGCCGGGGGACAACGGGAAAACCCCACCGAGGCAACCAGACAGGAGCTAAGGAAAACCCGGCCCTAGGAAAAAACGAAACCAAACTCAAAACTCCTCATATTTTCTTGGAGGGAATCCGATCGGATGGGCAGTTGGCAGGGTTGGCTGATCAAAAGGTCACCTGGAAACCAACCAAACCCAGACCCAGACCCAACAAAACCAGCCCAAGAAAAAACCAAAAAGCAACACCTAATATTTTCTCGGGGAAGGGAAATCAAGAACCCATGCACCCGAAAGGTTCACAAGATGGTGAACTCTTTTGGATGTTTGTTGCCCTCCCTTTTTCGAGATGGATGTTTCTCAATTTCGGGGAAAGCAACAGGAAACCCCTCGCTTGAAGAAAGTGCATGCAGAAAAAAACGGCCGAGATGCGGCCCGCGTGAGCGAGATCCGACCGTTTTCTGTGATCGGCTCAAGCAGGTTTAGGGTTCAGGCAGAGAGGCAGGGACTGACTTCTAGTTATTGAGCGTTCCCGAAGTTCGAAGCCAGCAAACTCCTGGCTTGAATAGCCACAATTGCTTGGAATGCTGCTTCGACGGTCTTCAGGAAAACAAATATTGGTTGTTCCCATGACTACTTGGGAATCCACAGTGTGGGCAGGTTAGCCGAGATAAAACGCCCAACTGCGAGTTCCAAGAAACATCGCCCATCGGCTGCCTTCAGCCTCTTTTATTTTGTTCTTCGGCACATTTGGTGGCCCCATGTCCTCCCCGACCAAAAGTTATGGACGACCAACAGGTCAAATACTCACATCACTCACATCATCCCCTTGACGGACCTCCCGATTTGGGGGTATCCCATTTCGTTCATTGCCCCGAGGCCCGGGGTCCGGACCGTCGATCACGCCCAGGCAGCCCACGCAAGAGCCCTCCTGAAGGTCGATCTGCTGGGAAAACATGCGAAAACCACCAGTCCGTCTGAAGGTGACCAAACTTGTTGGTGACTTCAGGGATGAAGGCAAACCAACCAGTTCGGGGAAAAAAGGAAGATACATCCCTTGGGTTAAAGTGGAACATTGTCTTTGTTGGAAGGGGGTTTCCCTTCCAGTCACACAAGTTGGGCCCGAAGACCCATGGGCGGATCCCTAATTTCTAGTCTGTGGCCGGACACAAGCGCAAGTGAAAGCGCTACCATTTAAGGCTTGACCTTCCAGGCTGTTCAGCAGCGAATCAGAAAGATGACCCCCATGAACCATCTAAAAGAGTCCTCAGTTGAACAACAGGTGCCTGAAACTTGCTGGCTAACGGGCTGCAACGTTGACCCCATATCAACCCCAGTTTATCAATAAGGGGGGGGTGTCTATTTCTGGGTTGAGTGGAGAATCATCACCTTTAAAGAGACAAAAACAACCCCCCTATTAAATCAACTGTTAACTGGGGTTTGATGTGGGAGGCAACGTTGAGCAAAATCCTTCGACCGGTGCCACGCGCAAAAGCCGAACCGCACATCTAGATCCGCCAGTACAGAGGTTAGAATTAGGGTACCAACTTTTTTCAGGACGTCTATTTTCGTAGGGGAATTTCCCTTCCCCAAAAAAGAAACGGTGAGACAGGGCCCCAATTGGGGAAGACCTGCGCTTCGTGCCTCGGGCGCGGGTGCCAAGGCGGCCGCCGGAAGCGGCGCCAAGGCCGCCAGCAGCGAGCGCCGGAAGAGCGCAGGCGCGAAGCAGGGGCCCAAGGTGGCCAGCAGAAGGCCTGGGATCACGGGATGACTTGGGCCTTCGATTCGCCAAGAAAGTGGTTTGTAACATGCGGATGGTTTTGAGGAAATACTCATAACCGGCCATGACCAGGCAAAAATTGCTCCTTTTGGTCGAGCCCTGCTTGTTTGTATGATTGGGTCTTCGATTCGCCAAGTTAGTAAGTGGTGAGTAATACCATGGTTTCAAAAAATACTTACAACCGGCCCAACTCAGTCATTAAAGTATAGGTTATACCCCTTACTAACTTTGCCGAACATGCAAGCAGGGACGCGCTCGTTTTGGTCGAGCCCGGCTTGGTTTTGGGGACAAGAAAGGTAGAGTTCAGGGAAAACAAGTTTGGGGATGGAAAAAGGGTGCCAAGAAGGATCCTTTCTAAGACGCCACTTCGGAAGAACAACCCAGAAGTTCCAATGGCTTTCACAGGAACCAGGGCGTCCGTTTTGGTACAGGTATTCGTTTGAAGGGGCAGCAAGACCGCTCCGCCTCGCCAAGCCCGGCGCGGCATCAGCGGCAAGGGCCGGGCAAAGGCCCCCAAATGAAACTGTGAGCATTCGTTGGGCTGGGAGCCTTGCTGGTGATGGTTTATAGGGATTATACCGTCATTTTCTCGGGGTCATTCCCTCATTCGGTCCCTGCCTATCGCTCGCCTTCAATCAATCGACTTGAATCAACTTGCAAAGAGCTCCGTTTGGACAAGCTCGATGGCAGTGGGATCAAAGCAAAACAGCCGGTACCATTCTAAATTTTGTTCAACCAAGCTCAAAGGACACGAATGCGCCTCTCGAAGATGATCAAACATGGCGATCCAGTTAGTCAGGTGACGAAAGTGGGCTGGCTGGCAAGACGCTGGCAAGGCCTTTGTGTAGACTGCGATAATTTTCAAGGAAAAACGTGCCTCAAGCAACCAAACCGGAAGCATCGGCCAAACAAGCGTACGTCAGGCGTCAGCCACTGTCGCGTTAACTCTCTGAGCCAGCAGTTTTGAGCCGCTCGTTTTGGCTTCAGGTTGGCTATGACCGATACCTGGCTATGTCTCAAAACAGCTCAGAACCCCGAGTGTTGTTTTCGCTGTTTTTGTTGTCTGCTCCTGAGCCGACCCACTTTACCAGGCCCAGCTCTTGGCTTGATGGTGCAAAGCTGGCGCAAGATCCAGCCCCCACTTCAAATTGCAGGGCCCTTCAATCCATGCCAATCCATGCTAATTCCCGTCACCCAAACGCTCTCGATTTACTTTGGGCCCTGAAACAGCCAGGTTTTGAGACCCCAAAACCTTTTGTGAGGTGTCCGATGGAGGGTCAGAAAGGTTGTCAATTGAACCCAACAAGGTTGGGGTGTCAATCGCCATCTCTAACACCCAAATACAACCATACGAGTGGTTCTTCTCCAGGGAGCCATGCTCAACGCGGTCGCAAACACGGAGCTGGGGCCAGAAGAGCCCATCACACGGCGCAGAGTTGCACAAGCTGGGACAAAAACACCACGCGCGCCAGCACACATTTTTTTCCTCACCGCGACTTGGCGCCGAAGAGATCGTCTCCTTGGCAGCCAGAAAGGCAAACAAAAACAGAGAATAGGAGCTTCTCAGATAATGGGTCATCCGAAAAGCGAGCTGGAGCTGGTTTCCGCTTGGTTTCCCATTAGATGGTACCCAAAGGGTGGCCCATTTTGAGAAGCACTCACATCATGAGCTGACTTTGATGCGATCATGGCTTGATGTGGTTTTCAAGTACCCTACACCCCCAGTCCAGCAAAGGGAAATCCCTGCCTTTCAAACTTGGAGGGCTGTCTACCATGGTCCACTGTGGGCCATTTGGACCAATACGACCAAGCGTCGCTGGCGGCTGCTCTCCGGACGCAAGTCCAGAGTCAACGTGACATTGGCCGCCGCCAGGCGGTTCTGGCAACTTCAAGGCGTCCCTTTTCGACCGGACAGGGACACCAAAAGGACATAATTCTAGTAATGTTGACGCCATATGTAATAGTAATCAAGCCCAGTTTATTAATAGCGGGGTGTCATCACTTTTGGAGGGCTGCCCATACTTCCCTTTAATGTCTGGAGACAATTCGTAAACCCCCCCAATTAAAGGTTTCCCCTTTTCCCCTCCAGGTTCTCACCAATATTAAAGTAAAGGGCCAACCAGGTTTTCCCAAAAAACCCTACCCAATTATTTTTGGGCCCTCCCCAAACCCCCCCCGATTAAAGGTATCCCTCTGCAGCCCCCGAGCCAAAAAACACTGCCAGAAAATGGGCTTCCTTCTTGCTTAGTATTTGCTTAGTCTGTGCTTAAGCTAATACTAAGTTACTATTGAACCCCTCAAGTTTTTGTCAAACATGTGCTTCCCCCAACATGCATTGTTGTTTATTGAAAATTGTTAAACATGACAAGGTTTTCAAGCTCACAAAGGGGACCCTTGATTGAGGGCCAGCCCCCCTCATTAACAGAAAACCCCCCACGATTAATCAGGGCCCTTTTGGGCTCAACACCCAAAAACCTGCTGTTGCCTTTTAAAGTCCTACTTCCCAGAAGGACCGAAGGAGCTCAGGGGGGTCCTCCCAAAAATCACAGTGTTGGGGACTTGTCCAAACCTTGTCGACCTTGAAGAGGGGGGTGGGAGGGGGGTTTACTAATCAGTTGTCACCATTAAAAAATATCACCCCCGCCAGCCAAGAGCGACTCACCTTTCATTGCCCTTAGATTTAGGAGAATCGTATGGGCATGCAACCCTGTTTTAATGGGCAACTATTTCAGAGGGGTTCTTCGAACTAGCATGACAATGATTCTCTAGAAAAATCTGTTCGGCGTGCAAATCTGTCCATTTGAAAGGGACTTGGAGACGCTTCCTGCCGCTAGCAGTCAGGGACGAGGAGATTCAAGAGAAGCAGGAATATTTCATATACTTGCCTTGTCTCAGTCACAAGTTGGGGCCGCTACAGATATGCTAGTTGTCCTTTTCGCTTCCTTTGGAAACCACACAGGCCAAAGCGCACCCTCACTTTGGAACACCTCTGCAGGCTTACACCCAAGAAGTGAGGACTTGCTCGGACTGGCTTTGCTTGCAAATCAACTAATATGGCTGCTCCTGCCCCGATGAGGCAGGAAACCCAAGCGCCCTTGGAGCACCCCCCTACCCCGGAAAGATTCGTGGAGCCTTCTTGGAAGAGGATTTAATCTTTGAGTTCAAACCACCAGTAAAACAATGGTTGGGTTGGTATAGCCACCATTATTTAACTTTCTGGATTTCATCATCGAAAACGGATCCCGTTGGGCCATGCTTTCAATGGGAATCGGTTGAACCCCTGAGATGGTTGGACCTTGCGCTCCGAACTGCGACCAAGCGCATCCGGAAGCAACCCGCGCAGCCGAAGGGCCTTCACCTCCTGGGCAAACTCCCCCCACTCCTCGTAGGTGACCTGATGGGCAAATGAAAGGACTAACAAAAGGACAACCCCAGCGAAACCAAAAAACAACCAAAGGGAAACCTAAAGGGAAACCCAAAGGGAAACCCAAAGGGAACCCAATGGAAAACCAACCCAAAGGAAAACCAAAGGACACCAAGAAAAACCCCAACCGGACACCCCAACCGGACACCCCAACCGGACACCCCAACCGAACACCAACCGTGGCATGTGCGCGCAGAGGGTAGTTTCAGGCCTCATTCATGTTCCGTTCTTTTCTATTTTTGTTTTAGGCCAGAGATGGTTTTGATAAAATCCATTCGGAAATACGGGTGTGTCTTCGAATTGGGGATCCCCGTCGAGCAAAGGTTTTCAGCCAGAGCGGCCCAAGCTTCGGGACGGGCTGGGGGGGCGAAGCTTGAGACGAACAAAGGTCAAGACCGGCCTCAATCCGTCAGAAGCTACTCAAATCCGTTCAAGCGCTACTTTGATCCGAGGGAGAGACTTGAACTCCAAGTTCAGGCCACAACCTCCGAGTGCCTGAAATGAAGAGCGGCCCATATTTGCACATCCCTCGCCGTCTTGACCCCAAAATTGCATGCCAGCTGGCTACGCCGAATTCGCATTGACATGGCGCTCAAACTGCCTGGCAATCTGTTCCGCCTCCGTGTCTTTCAAGCATTTGGCAATGGCCGTGCACATGCGGGCAGGGTAGGGCTGTGCCAGCTTCGTCAACCAGTTGCCATGTTCATCTTGACCACAAAGAGGAATGTGAGTGTTGCCAGTAAACCTGCAGAAACCACGCTTTGCGCCAATGCAGACAGCGGTGTCTAGTCGGTGTCATTGGAGGTGCACGGCAAGAAAAGCAGTGGGTTTTTTGAAAGCCTTTCCCCAGGCGCAGTCATGCGTAACATGCCATGAAACTAGTGCCAGTAAAGCTGGGCACAACCAAATACGAGGCTGGATTCTCCATGCTTGCAGGTATATGAAAACGAGGTTCAAAAGCCAGGCTGAAAAACGCACTGCGGCTTCAAGAAACCCAAGCCGAGAGGCTGCTTGTCGGAGCGCAGTGGTGGAGGTCCTGGAGGACGATCACGGGCCCTTGAAAAACTCTCACAAGGTGTACTGAGGTGAAAACCTTTAACAGCACCAGATTTGCTCCACTCCCCCAACATTCGCCTTTTGCTAGCGTTGCGCAGATCATATTCACTGCCGAGCGTGATGTCCCAGAGCAAGGTTGGCCACCCTGTTTCGCGGGCGACTGCTTTGGCAAGGTTCCCGACTCCACTGAAAATCTCAATGAAAACCGCGGCTGTCAATCTTACTGAGCAGGCGAGGCCTGGGACCGGAGCTTTGATGCAATCTGATCCGCGGCGAGGATGGCGCTTTCGCGCGCGGCCTTTGGCAAAGCCTGCAGCTGCTGCGTCAGCCTTCCACCCTTCTCGTACCTCCGCACGCTCCCGAATGACCTCCACCTTCCTCTTCGCTGAATCTCCACCAAGGTCCGCCGCTTCTTTGCGAAGTCGAGACTGGGCCCTCCGCGTCGACGCCTGTAAGGGTGGGGAGGCCCAATTGCCTTCACCATCCTCAGCTCTTCTGCCTCCATTGCCATCGTTGCCCCGACCTCCTTGACAGTCACCTTGAACATGGCCTCTTGGGGTGACCTCCACGGCAACCTCAGTAACCGGTTGAGTTGCTCCGGAATGAACCAAAACTGCTCGAGATCGAACAGCACGGTCTCGTCGATCCCTCCGTCGGATGAAGGATCAGAGACCAACACTGGAGAGACCCCACTGGTGGGACCAGATCCTTCACCCGAAGCCGTGGCACCTCCCCCGGCCGTAGGTAGCGCGCACACCACTTCCCAAGGCAGGCGCAACCGCGACTTCGGAGGATCCAACTTCCTTCAGCCCTGAAGGCTTTGCCTTGTCACTCAGCCATGGCATTCAACCATGTACTGCGCTTGAGAGAGGTCCTTGTTGTTGTCGAACATTTCCTCCAGCATGGCTTGCACGGCTGCATCGACCTCCTGAGCTTCCAAGCTGCTGTTCGCCACCACATTCTGAGCCGTGCAAAACCTCGCCCAGCATTCGCGTTGTACTTGCTTCGTGCTTTCACTGCTGCCTCGGCCAGTGACCCTACCTCCGCTCGCAACTGCTGTCTCCTCTAAATGGGCGCTGACACTGAGAGACTGAGCCGTTTTTGCGGCGCACTCGCGTTCTTGCTGGCTGGCCTCTTCAAGACCAGAATCACAGAGGGCACCTGCCAGTGTATCATGCATGGGGTCACTTGGCACGCTGGGAAATCTTGAGCCTCTGGACGGCCCATCAGCAGGGTTCCACTTGCTCGGAATCCAGCGGTAGTGGGAACTGCTCCCGGTGCTCAAACACAGGGCGCCGACCTGTTGAGACACCCTCCTCATTTTGAACCGCCTCCCTCGTCCCCGATCAAGACAACACACTGCAGTAATGCTATCCGACAACACAAGATGCCGCGTGTGAAAGTTGTCAGCTCTGCGAAGAACATGTTTGACCGCATACAGGGACGCCCGAGCTTCAGGAACGGGGATGGCCCCTTTCGAGCCCATTTGAAACGACCAGTGACAGTCCACTGCTGGAGCACGTCCTCTTTGGCGACAGGGCTAAAACCTTCACCTCCAGCCTTGCCTTCAACGACGCGAAGCGGCTCGGGCCGGGCCTCGCCGGGTTGAGCAGCGTACGCCCACTCCAGCGCCGCAGCCGTCGGTCACAGTCGAGTAGCCGAAGGCAGTTGCACGCGGCTTGCTGAAGTGGGGAATATCAAACCTCCATCTCTCAGAAAAACGCCCCAGTTGTTGCACCCGTTCCCGGACGTAGGAAGCAGTAGTAGCCACAAGGCCCCAGGTAGAAGCATCAACAGCTGTGACTTCCGAACTCCATGGAATAGTCAAATCCCGCCAAATAAGAGGAGCGACTCCAATCCAGATACTCATTTCTCGGCGAACAGAGCCCCAAGAGGTGCAAAGACGATGTGGGCGATTGTCCAAGCGCAATGAACGTGGCGTGGCCCAGGATCTTTTCGAGCTGGCTGGCAACTCCAGTCTGAAGCACTCGCCTCAAACGCGCTTGCTCAAATTCCCACCCTATCTTGACGGCCCCGGATGATTTCTCCTCCTCGTGCACCACGAGGCCCTTGCTCCGCAGTAGAAGCCAGTGCATCGACCTGCTCCTCTGAAGTTTCCAGCACCACATAGTTGTCAACATACGCCAGATGCATTTCCCTGGAGGAACCGCGGCCTTGTCCTTCAAACATGACAAAGGCCCCGCCCCAACCTCCGCAACTGTACGCTGATGGACGGTCTGGCACCACCACAAAGCATGACTCCATCCCATAGGCAACACCCTTAACCTTGGAAAAATGCGGGAAGTGGGGGATAGAGCAATGCCTTCACAGACCTCCCCAGGGGACAAGGGCGGAAGCCCGAAATAGCATCGGAATTTTTGGGGAAGCTCCAGGTGGTAAAACGCCTCGCTCAGCTCGATACGACTAAGTGCCTCCGCTGTGCAGAGGGCGACCGTATCGGGGGTGCTGAAGTGTGCATTGCTCCACCATGCGAAGACGCCCATCCTTTCTGCCGACAAAGAAAGCGCCAACCTCTTCACGAGGCGGGCTGACTGCGAAATCCACCAGCGCCGCCTCGAACAATCTGGCCACGAAAATCCGCAGCTTTGGATCCGTGTAGCACTGCTCAACCCCACAACCCACCAGTTGTCTTCGCGCCTCATCCTCACTCAAGAGTCTCGAGCAAATGAACTCGCCCACAATCATCTGCCCGTCCTCCCCCAACAAGTCGGCCAAAGCGACTGGAACATTCCCTTTCTCCGGCAGCGAGAGGAGCTTCGATTCATAGGACAGTTGACGGGGTCTGGTCTTCCCCATAACCATCAAAGGCCCGAAGCTGCCGCAGCGCCTCTGAGCTCCTTGCGGAGGAGGACCCAACATCTGCACTGAATTGTGAATACCCTCCGAAACATCAGCTCGACGCCCATGGAGTTGCAACCGTCAATCTGGTCGACTTGAATCAACTGCCTCAGGATCATGGACATCTGAAAATGCTCCTCCACGCCCCACGCAGCCCCATCTAATTTGCACAGCTTCCTGAACCTCGAGATCTCATGATGCGCTTCACACCACCTTGCTGTGCGGAGCCCAACTAGGGGCCACGGTGTGCCTAGGCATTGAACTTGATCGGCAAGATCCGCGCGTCACAAGCTGCTGGCCGGCCATTGAAACTGGCCACACGACTCTCGTCCAGACAGATGCAAAAAATCGCCTGTCCATCCGGCATGACATGCACCGCCTTTACCCCGACTGAGGCAGCTGCTGGCGCACACTTCCAGTGGCCTCAGCGGCAACCCACGTCAGCTGCCCTCCAGGAAGACACGAGCCCCCGGCGCTTCCCGGCCCGGGCGGCCCCCGGAGCAGCCGCCGCGACTGGGGCGGCCACCATCACTGCTCCGGCACCTCCTCTAAGAGCCTGCTCGGCTTGTGCCTCTGCGGTTGCCTGAGCCTGCATTGCCGCCCTCTCGGCAACACCCCACGCTGGCAGACCATAGACCTGCGACGCGGCCACACCTGCTGGCAGACCTCCTCCAGCTGGCCTGAATCCGGGAAGTCGTCATTGTCCACACTCAGCGTCTCAACAAAAATGTCTTGATCAGGTGTGCAGACAACATAGTCGTCCCCCTCCACGTGATCCAGGATCCACCTCTCATGGACCACCACCGGCCCAGGCACATCATACTCCACCAGGGCGAAGCGCCCTTGTAGGGCCATACCGCCTCAACCTGATCTCGGCCAACTGATTGTAGGCAATGGTTTTCACGGACAAAGGACTATCACTCGGCAATTTTTGCAGCTGTACCTCCTCCTGTCGCTCCACCCTGCAGCACCCGCCCTTGTAGCGACCCAACCTTTTGAAGCTTGAGACGAACAAAGGTCAAGACCGGCCTCAATCCGTCAGAAGCTACTCAAATCCGTTCAAGCACTACTATGCTCATACCCGAAAGAGGGCATGTCAAAGTTGCAGCATTCGGACTTAGGGAATCTGGAGAAAGGCTCGAATTCTCCGGAAACGCAAAGTCAAGCTCCAACAAGGCTGCTAGTTGATGATATAATATGGGTATGAAGTTGAACCCGGAATCTTTGGCGGACTTCAGAAATACCTGCGGATCAGTGTTTCCAAGGAAATGATTTGGGCCTGACCTTTGCCATTCGCTTCTTTGAAATCCGTTCAATGGGTGAGCGCGTTTCCGCAGGAAACGAGCTCCGTATAATTTGCACGGGTGTGTACCGAGCCCCAAACGACACGAAAATCCGACTCTGGGGCCTGTCCAACAGCAAGGCCGTCAGCAACGTTTAAATAGCCAATACCTGGTGGCCTGCCAATTGTTTGGCAAAGTTCAAGGAACAAGTGGGGGCTTCTCAACATGGCAGATATTTTTTTTTCTGAATGGTTTCAAAAGGACACCAAGAGGAAACAAACCTCCTAAAGGGTCCGCAATTTTGAGAAACACCCAACTGAAAAAATGGGTCCTGAACTACTGGTCTCACCAGAGAAAAAAGGGGGAAAAAAAACAGGCGCCACCTTGCGCCACTTTTGACCTGGGGCGACCAAAAGCGCCATGGACCAAAACCCCGACATAGGTCCATCCCAATCAACCAAATCCCGGTGCCGATTGCAGAAACTAGCAGAAACTTGGGTGCATTCTGCTCCCCTGCTACAAGCTTAGCTTTTAGTCTTTTAGTGGTTTAATGGAAAACCCATTAGTTGGCAAAAAGTAAAAGTCCTACCATCCAAGCAAAATGCACCACAGGAAACACGTACATGCATGGACAAATCGCCAAAAAGATGTGCGCTCGAAATGTTGCAGGCCGATGATTGCAACTGCTTCGGCTTTTGACGATGGTAGCTGGCAGAATCTAAAGGAACACTGCTCCCCGAAGCGACCCAAGCAACTTAACAACCCTACCCCATGAACCCAAGCCAAAACAAATAATAATTACAAGACTAATGCCGAGCAAACGAAGCCAAATCACGCATGAACAAACTAGGCCAGACGAAACTCGCTCTAAATGTCATACCAAACTTCAGACCAAATGAAACTCAATCCACCAGTTGCAATGTCCTGCGTAATTCCTTTCCCCTCAATCCGCGCCCCCTGATAAATATTATCTGGCCAAACAATATTTACTAACAAGGTAATTGGGGTTGAGATCGGCTCCCTTAGAAGCACATGTGCTCATCAAATAAGACAAGGGTCGGGTTTGGCAGGGAGTCAGTTAGTATTGCTTTAGAATTGGCCTATTCTCAAAGTAGTATTCGGGATCCGGGTGTCTGGGAAAACACTATTTCTTATAAGGTGTATATGCCGCCTGACAAACATGAGAACATGTTTGCAGTAGTGAAATCGATTCCCGTCAAAACCAACAGGGGCAAAATAGAGCATGGAAGATAAAATGCAGGAACTTAAGGCAGTGAGAAACCCATGGCAAAAACACTCTTCAGCAAATGAAAGTTGAATAGGAGAAAGGTTAAAAGACCACGGTTTGTTACGGTATTTACGTCGGGGAATCGAATCAGAAACCAGGGTTTCTCAGGTGGTGCGAAATGGGTGTGGGTCAAAAATAGGTACCCAGAAGTGAACCCTGGTAAATGGAAACATGGACCAAAACCTGCAGTTTTCTGATGGCTTAATTTTGACCCCAAATGGATTTCGCAACCATCCACAGTAGGGCCCAGTAGGGGGAAGAGGATTAGCTTGTTGTCCAGGCTACCGTGCACTCCGGCCAGGACCCACCGCCCGCTCCCGCATGCGGTCCTGTCGGCGGGCTCCCTTTTTGGGTGGTCCAGGGACTCGCTTCCCAGGGAGCGGACTGGCCGAAAAAGGGTACCCAGACTGTTTGTAGACCCTCCCGCAGACCAACAGGACCCCTTTGGAAGCCTTCCCGGAGATTCTATGTTAGTGCGAGGGAGTGTACCACCAAAGTGGTCTTTGGACCCAAAAAAATAACTAAAGTCCATGAACTCAGGGAGTGAGTTTTGGGTGGTGCAAAAGAGAGTTTGAAGGGACACAGAGGGTTCCCTCATTTGAAGCCATAGGGGGGCCATGGAAGAAACGATTCACCACCAATCGGAAGCAGCCACAATGATAATCATAATTTCCCCTGCAGGTGTCAACGTGAACGGGGTACACACTGCAATGATTCCCTGAGTGCGGCAAGGCATGATTGTTTGGTCTCAGCGTTTTGCCTGTTCTGAATGCGCCAGCCGTACAGTCGTATATATGTCCCCTCTCGTGTTCAAAGGGCAGTCTCTCATGTTCAAAGGAACACGCTCAGAGAGAAAGCACCGCTCTAATATGGGTGTGGCTCAAACTGAACGAGCTGGTTACACAGGTGTTGGTCCTTGTTTCCATCCAAGGGGCCCAAAAATGGGACCACTTGTTTGAGTCACAGCCATATCAAACAAGCAAAGCACGTGCCGATTGGGTCTTGATCCTCACTTGCAAGCCTCGGGCTGAGAGGAAGGCTCCAGACCTTCCATTTGGTTAAGACCCCTGGACAAGAATATAAATATGTCTAGTCGTGATAGATTCCCTTTAAAACCAACGGGGGAAAATAAAAATATTATTAAGCAAATGGAAGAAATTCAGAGAACCCAATGCCACACCGTTCGGCAAATGATCTCACCACACGATTTTCACAAACCGGCAAGAAGAAGTGTTGACAGGGACCCTAAAACCTGAATTGAATTGCTCGTCTTAGCCCCAAATCAGTGAGCTCGTTCACCCCTTTGTCACAGCCATTGGCACGGGGGCTCCCATGGTCATTGCTTTGCGGTTCGGGGGGCAACCCTCCTTATTAGATCATGCTTCCCATGTCCTGCCAAAGCAAAAGTAGACTACTAGTAATTTTGTCAGTTGACGGTGTATATGTGTGTGTGTGTTTTGACTCTGCTTGTTGGATCATGTTTCCCCCAAACGCCCATGTCCTAAACCGACAATAGACTATTCCCAGCCATTTTGCTCAGTTGCGCAGACTGTTGAATTCAGGACGTGTATCTTTTTGGGGTACCCTTTTTGGCATTGGTCCAATGAGGGACAAACACATGTTTCTTGCGCGGCCGCCGTTTTTGTGACTGGTGAATGTGGCTGTGTTCTTGACGGTGCCCTTTTGGGGATTGCTCCAATGGCTGTTGAGACAAACAACTCGTCTCTTAGGCCGCGGACCATTTTTTTTCTCGGGGTTGATTCCCCATTCTGTTCAACCATCGTTCTTTTCAAAAACCAGCCGTTTTCACTGGGTTTCTTTAGGTTTTCCAGAAAGATTCGGATCCCTGGAAACAATGGAAATGGAAGGTACCCCTAGATTCTTGACTGACCTCTCCGTACACCGCCGCATTTCAGCCCAGTCCGTCTCTTTGGCCAGCTGATACAGATCCTCCGGCGCGTCCGTCTCGTTGTCTGGCGCCTGAGGCGCCCAAAAGAAGCGGGACTGAAGGGTGAGAAACCACCTAAATCAAAACCAACACCTGGTTTTTGTTCATGGGTAGACCATGTAAAGAACTGACAGTGCTGCACCTTGTATGGTTGGGGCTGTCCCTTACTAGGCTTCAGGGAAACCACCTTCCAAATGCAATCCATCAGGGACGTTTTTGGAGTTGTTGAAAGGGCTTTCAAAAGGAAACTACCCAAGTTCATAGGTCAGCCAATTTGAGACGCACACCAGACTGGAACTACTTCTTCCTGACTGGAGGGAATGGAGGGAACTGAGAGACATCTTTGAGACCAAATCATCAGGAACGATGTCTGAATCATGCGTTTCATCTCATGTCCGAACGCCGCGGGTAGTCACCCACTCGGCTGAGGCACCCGAATCGAAACCGGACCCTGACTTGGGAATCTTCCTGCAGCCCACGCTTGAATTTCTGGGAGTGAAGGGAGTCCATCACAGTTGGCTTGTATAGTTGGCCTCTGGCCCGAATCATTCACTCAATGCTATGAAGGAACCAGGATAAAACAAAACACGTGTCGCACATTTGGAGATTTACCCACCCCACTTGTGACCCCCCTCCGCAAAGTGAACCCCTGGTACACAAAGACCAGGATTCACAGACAGTATGCACATTGTAAGGACAAGGCAGTGGCTGTGGCTCCAAATTAAGAACCCAAGAAACCGCAGCCTCTGGACTCTGGACACGTCTTCCTTAGACATTACAACGGATTGCAGTGGCAGTTGTTTTGGAGAAGGCAAACGCAAGTAAGTGGACCCAAAAGAAACTCATGACACAAATTGAAAGGTTCATAGCCTCGAGATCCGTAAATGGAAAAACCATTGTCTGCCGAAAGGGAAAGGACCAATGTGCGAAACAGCCATACTTTGGGACACATTTGGATGCTATGGTACGAGCCTGAGAGTAAGAATAACGAACACGCGCTACCATGCGCATGGTTCATCACAACAAAATGAGAGTCAGCATGGTTGTGGGCAAAACCCATCTCTGTGATGCCAACGGGGCCATCTCTATGACTAGCTCTAGAAGGGATCCCCTTGGAATGACTGAACATGGGACAAAGCCTCATGTACCACAACTATGAGCTTCAAGTTGGCAATGCAAGACTCATCATGGTTTGTTCGGCCTGAGACTAGGACGTCGTTTCTCATCCACCCTCAACCAGAACCAGGGGTTTACATCCAAATCCAAATCCAAACCACCAATTCAAACCACGAATTGAGGGAAAGCTGGCGAAACAGCTATACCAACAAACACACATCCGAAGAACCCCGGTCTCTCGTCGAACTTTCGCGCCTCTCGCCGCTGGACGTTGATAGACATCCAGTCTTCCGAGGGCATGGCAAACTCGTCCATGGAAGCAATCTGGGCCTGGCATACATCCTTTTGCTTAAGCCCCCCGAAAAACAAATCCAGTAGTGATAGATTCCCTTTAACATCAACAGGAGAAAATAGCAAAAACACCTTAAACAAATGGAAGCATACTGGCAGGCTGACTGGGTTTCTTGACTTTTTGAACCAGAGAACACGAACTCCCTTTGACAGGCCTCCCAACAAGGCTCTTGAATGGGGAATTGAGAGCAGGTGAACGTGTCATGTTAGAACCAATACTGAGCCACGTCTTGAGCGAAGGATATCTGACAGTGTGAAGGCGTGGCTTCAAATCCGCTGCAGTAACCTCCTTTACTGTAGCTGAATGGGGATCCGGCAGGGGGACCAAAGTCCGAGTGCTCGCAAAACAAGTGCCTGAAACAAGCGGAGCCAGGGAACCGAAAAGCCAAACAAACGTTGCATCCTAGCCTGATTTCAGGAAGCAATCTTGTTCAAGAACTGCTTGTAAGTGCCGGCTGAGCAGCCCCGGCTTTTCTAGATCCCTCCCCCAATTTGATTTGACAAAATGGGGGCGGGACTCGTTGAATGGAATTTTAGTCCAACTTCGGCATGTGGGGCGTCACTGATCCCGCACCTACGCCTGAAAAAGGCCGCTCAGCCACACTCCAATTGGACCTCTTCTGGTGCAAGAGCAGGGAGCCTTCTTTCGCAAGCTGAAAATGATTGAACAACAAACTTGCGATTGAATAATCTACCTTTCAGAAGCTCCTTGTGTGAAGTATTTCAGCATGTACGTTCCTTGTTGTGAGTTCATGTCACAGTAGCGTTCATGAACTTGAACATGTGATGTGAATTGCGGATTTGGCTCGGAGGCAAAATTCTTGCAGCAGACAAAAACCATGTCGCAATTGCGCATGACTATCTGCTGATAGAACGAACAGAAACCCTTGGACAAATTCCCAAGACACAACAGAAGGCCGCCCTTCAAAGCAAGCGAAATCCAAATGTATTCCAACTGCGCCATCTCCGGCAATAGCCGCTGGCAACGTCAAGTAACTGCCCAATGCCTCAGAATTGATTGAACAAACGGAATTGCCGACTGTGGTTGGCTGCCTTTTGGCTTCCCTTTGAATACCAACCAGGAGGGGTCCGCCATTTAAGAAACCAAATCAGAAGTGGCTCCTCTCATCTCCTCTCCCGCATTCCAATTCAGTCCCAACCAAAATTCAGCAAGTCAATGGCAAGACCCTCTCCTTTGTGGTTCCCAATGATCTTGCCTAGCTTCCAATTGCCCATGAATTGACTTGTATGCTCAATCCTAAAGCTAGAACTTGAACAACACATGCCATCATCATTTGAGAAAGGAACAAAAGTATTCCATATTGCTACCTTCCCCATTCTTTCCAGGGATCCTTCCTTTCAGGAAACCATCAAAAACCCGAGGGAAAAAGCCGTTATTTGAAAAGAACGATGGTTGAAAAGAATGGAACAGGAATCAACCGTTAGAAAAAAAAAGTCCGCAGCCCAAGAGACGAGTTGTTTGTCTCAAAAACCAGGAGCACTCCCCAAAAGGGTACCCTCAAGAACACAGCCACATTCAAGGCGTGGCGGCTGCGCGTGATATCTCCCCCCATTCATGATCTGATAGAGAAACAGCGGCGCCTTGGCGGTTTTTGAAGTGGAAGCAATCGAAACGCCCAGAAGCCTAGACTTCTAGTTGCGTTTTCGCGCCCTGGAACAAAACATAACTTATATGTCCCTCAGATGCCCAGTGGTCATGGGAAAAAAGGGCCTTCTTCTTTGGTTGGTTGACTTTAAAGGGGAACCCTTCCCCAAAAAAGAAGGGAAAAAGGGCACCACTGGGCAACTGGGGTCTAGTAGTGAATCGGCTCCCTTTTACAGCAACCGGGGAGAACAAAAAACAAGCTCGTTTCCAAAACGGAGGCCCTCCCAGACATTGCTTGAGATGTGCAGGTTTGAAGTTCTATGTATTGGAACAAGAGACGACAAGGGCCCGAAGGGAGCAAGCTGCAACGCGACACCATGAACGACCCTGCTAAGATTCCTCACAGGACTATAGGTGTCCGTTCCGCTGGTCTGCTTGGATGAAAAGAGACGGATCTGCAAGTACCATAATGAACCCACCTAAACAAACAAATCTCAAAGTAAGGGACCTTCATGGGCGAGCTCGAGGCCCCCGGATCGGCAAGCTTGCTACAATCTTCGAATCGTTTGCCAGCGCCACTTGATCGAGGCATAGGACCTGCGCAACTTACTGTGATTCACAACTGCCGTATAACAATACATCAAGAACGCTTCACCATGAAATTGCTTGTTTTACTCCCCCCCTCCCCAAATCGGTGAGCTTGTCGAAATTTGCGCAAATAGGACTTCCACTGGTTGTTGATATCTCCAAGTCCCCCAAAGAGCCTTCTGACCCCCCAGTAACTGGGAAAAATGCAATCAACATGGACTCAAAAGTTGATTGCTAGGAAAGGGGACCTGTAGCCACACCCCCTTCCACAGATTAGGTCCATACATTGGTTGGGTTGGTGAAGCTGTTGGTAGGTTTTTCAACGCATGACCTTGGGAAACGCTGCTCCAACTCAAGGGAACTCGGATCGTGTCTTCAAATCGGGCAGGAGAACCCCCCGCCCCAAAACAAAAACACGGCAGTTCCGCTTAGTTTTCCCTTACAGCAACCCCAAAATAGCACCAAATCAGGACGCTGCCCAAAAAGCTCTTGCTGATTCATTGATCGATAGACCCTTTAGGAGGATTGCACCTGTATGGAGCCCCGAGCATAAACCTGGTTGGAGTAATTGGGGCTTCCAAATATACTTGCAGGCACAACTCTTGGAGTACCTGGGTTGGGCAAGATCTGGTTAAACAACCATGCCCTGGCCGCCTTTCAAGGTGGAACCAACACTTCGAAACCAGTATCTAAAAAAAACACATCAAGCGTGGTGTTTCAACCAGGGCTCGGGGTTGCATCGCCCAACCATTGGCACACCTCCCATTTTTGGCTCAGCCAAGGCCCCAAAAATTCGGCGGCCCAACGTGGACTCGATCACACGATCACACGGCCGACGGCGGCTGTCGGGCATCCCTGCCCCGGGCTTCAGAACGTTGTCCGCCACCACCACCGCCCCCGGGTGCAGCAAACCTTCCGACCTGAGCGAGCGCTTTGCCGCGAGTGCTTCTGGGTCCGGAGGATGGACAATGTCCTCATTTCGCGCCACACAATGAAACCGTGGTTGAAATATTTTGTTTCTTGGTATTTGCAAGGGAATCGAATCATTGGAGGGTTTCTGGCCGGTGGTGCGAAATGGATTTCGTCCATCCACAGTATGTGTTGGTTCTTTCTTCTGTTGCATAATTATACAAACGACAACAAACACGTGACAACACTCAAACATGTGAACAATCGACGAAATAGACTACTTCCATAAACTCCAACAACTTCTCAAAGGCTAGCTTGCATGGAAGCTGAAGCAATGGCATAAGCTATTGACATGAATCGAATTCACTTTGACATTGCCCCGTTGACGAACTTATCACTATTTGTTCCCCAAATGAATTGGGTAAAGTTGGGCAGGCCTGTCTCGGGCATTTGACCGAACGTGTTTGTCCCCCCTGCTCTCATTTTAAAAAAAATGCCGAAAAGCCATTTTTTGCTTAATGTTTTGTCTTGTTTCTTTTGATCTTACAAAGTTTGTTTACGCCTTCAAGTGGTCCCTAGGAGGCAATCTTCTTCTCTATGCCATACAGGGGCCTTTCTGGAAGGTTCCCTCCTAAATTGTGGCCCGGATAAGCCTCAAGGCTTACCAACGCCTTGCCTTAGGAGACTCTGGGTATCCCACTCATTTGGACCTTGGACACGCTGCGAGGCGCACAGGCTCTAGAGTGGAAAACCCTCATCAAATATGAACCAGTGGTTTACAAATCCTAGGTTCTTTTTAATTTCCAGGGTACTCACGGTTGCCCCCTTTGTGCTCTCCTCCCCCCCCTGACCCTGCTTTGGCATTTCCACTTGAAGCGGGGCCTCTCTTGTCATGTTCACCCCAAAACTGATGGGCTACCCTTGTCCAACTAATTTGACACCCGTGCTTACTAATATGGGGGTGGGGGCCACTCCAAAAGTGGTCTGAATCCCCACTCAAACCAGGGACACCCCCATATCAATATTGACTGGGGTTTACTAATCTGGGGTCAACATTGTCATGGACATGGCCAAAGGGAATGTCCGCAAGAGTCTGAAATATGTCATTTATGTGCAATCTGCTGTACTTCAATAAAAACAAGTGCTGTCTGATGTAGCCATTTTAGCGTGGTGTTCATGCCACGTAAGAGACAAGCCCAAGCCCTAAAAAACATGGCGTCTAGGTTAGTTTATTCACTCGCCAACCATAAATAAGGACACCCCAAAGAAGGAACCTCCATCGTAAAGTTGCAAACCGAAACCCTTTGAAAGGTTGCTACTTCCAGTTGCCCAGTGGGAAAAAGGGGGCATCGCAGTGTCCGAGTCCATTTTTAGGGAAGCCAGCGAGGGTGGCAAAAGATCTGGTAACTGCCCCATTCTATGGATCGCTTCTCATGGAGAACATGGGACCCTGTTTGCTATTTCACGGAAAACCAAAAGGACACCAATATTTTAGGGGGGTGGATGCGCCCAAAACGGTTCAAACTTCTGGTTTACCCCCAAACTCGTCTTCCCAAAAAGTGTTTAAAGTCTAGGAGCGCAGGACGTGAGTAAACCAGACACTCTGACAGCCAGCCAAACTCTGCCCAAGGGGCTCCATCTTCATCATGTCCTCGCTGTAGCGGGTACCCTTCTGGTCCATGAAGACCGCGCCTGTGATCGAGGAGCACGCCCAGCGCCACCGAAACCCTGGAATGATTCGATTCCCCTGTAAATACCAACAAGCAATTGAGTTCAATCACGCTTTCAGTTGTGCGAATTGATTTCGTCCATCCACAGCTATGGAGCTGGATCGGTCGTAGATCAGAATAGGTCCCCTTGATGAATTTGTGGCCAAAGCACCCTACCCGTGATGTCTTGCATCAGTGGGGCGAGGATTTTTAAGGCATGTGAGCAACTCCCCCCCATCTTGGCAACTGAACCCACCGTTCTACAAGCATGCAGAGGTTTTGCGGAGACCCCCCCCCCCAGTAGGCTAGCCCAAGCATTTCGAAGGCTTTCTTAGCCTCCGACACAAATCAAGCTTTCCCCGAGTACGGAATATTGAACAAGCACCACCCAAGGGGTCGTGTCATTCCGTATCTTCCATGGTTCAAGCTTGTGCCATTCACAATTCAACACCCGATGGGCCAGGAAACAAAACAGAATACCGCCAAAGAAAGGTAAGTTGCCAATTGGCGGTACGGGTAACACATCAACGCCAACTCGCAAATCGCAAAACGGGAGACCCATCTGAGAAATTGGGCTGCCCTCAGATCCGCTAAAAGTATAACTTTAGTGGGGGGACATGAACTAAAATCTAAAAAGCTACGGAGCCGGATGGCTGGACTTGCCACCAAGTGGGTTCCATCCGATCGGAAGGCCCGATCGCTGGGCCCGCGGGCCGAACTTCAGATCCCTCGCGCGCGAATCGAGTCGACATCCAAAGAACCCAACGCCCTTGGATGTTCGTGGTCCGCCACCTGGGGTATAACCTACTTTTAGTGAGTTGGGCAGGTTGTAAGTATAACCATGGTCGCCAACCGCTTACGAACTTGGCCCAACAAACAAGTACCCCTAGCCACCAAATGTGAACTTGTTATTGCGTTGCATAAAATGGTCTTTCCAAAAAGTTTTAAGTCCCACTAACTGGGTGAGTGAGACCCTGTTTCCGATCACAGAAGCGTGGACAACATTTAGAGAAGACTACCGTCATCTTCAAACAAACAATATGTGCACGTCCATGATTGCTGAAGGGAGGGTAGGTGAAACCAACAAAATGCAATCCCCTCGATGACAGGTACACCTCCCCAACAGGCCGCGTGGAACAAATCGAATTTCGGCTTACTCCCAAACGAAGCTGAAATCAATCGTAATGTCACTTGCCCAAAAATGTAGATAGAACAGGAAGCTCACTTGCAATTCAGGGATCAGAAGCCATTGGTGATGCGGTGATCATGCTTTCGCTACTCCGACAGAAAATTGACGAACAACTAGACAATAATAGGTCGAAAGGTCTTGCTTTCAAAATGAAGTTTGTCATCTTTTGTTTTGGCCTGCAGACAAAAAACACCCATCGAGAGGGCAGCCATACTTCTTAGTCCAAATGGTAGACTCAATCTCCACACTTGCTGAAATGATCCTGCTTCATTGACCAAGGTTGCGGGCCTGTTCTGTCAGCACAAGCAATTTTTGACACACCTTGCGGACCAGACGAGCCATCCCCACAAAGAAACAAAACAAAAGACGCGGCTGAACACTGGCAGAATCACTTAAGAACGTCTTTCGCAGGTCCCTCAGGTCATTCGGTGATCCGCTAACTGTATGATTTCATAGTTGATTCGTTTCACCCTCGCTTCCAAGTTTGACATATGCGATGGCGGCAAACATATCACAACCCAAAGTCATTCAGAGCCCGCGCTGAAAGGCTCCTTCGGCAAGCTCGTTTTGATTCAAAACTGCTCGTCTGTTTGGCTGTTTTTTTACCAGACTTCAACCGCGAAGCAGGCGAGAAGGGAACGTTGGCCAACGCAAACCGAAACCCTTGGTGAGGTACACGTTGCGATTGGTTCCTCATAAATATGGTCACCACATAAGTTTGGTCCTGGAATAAATCGAGATAGTAGTTTGTAGATTGTCCAACATCCCAGTAAACACATTGAACCTGTTGGTCTCAGAAAAGTGCAGTTTTGAAATGGCCAAGTTGCAATCCTTCCGAAAAGCATCGGGCGTGTGAAAGGCAAACACATCCCCAGGTCCAGGGTTTTAATAGAAGCCCATGTTTTTGTTGTTTTGTCTCATCAAAACCGAGCACAAGGTTTTGATCTCATCTCAGGCACTGGGCTCCCGGCCCACCGTAGCGGTGCATGATCCTCGGCAGGAGGTCCTGCAAGGCACGCCGATTTGCGTCTCTCGGTGGGCGGACAGCGCCTTCTGATCCGCTGAAAATGACCGACTTTGAGTGGGCGAAATGAAAACCCACTAAACCCTAAAAACAAATCGAACAACTTTTGGTGTTACTGAAAACCAAGGGGACGGCTGGGAACCACCAAGGGTAGTGAATTACGATGATTCGCCAAATCATGCCTCGCGAAAACAAGCTTTATGAGCAGCCCCGTTGAACTTGCTAAACCTATGGCTCCAATAGAACGTTCAGGGCTCCTTGGAAAACTCCCTTCCCCTTGCGAACCCCCGCAACCTTCCGAAAAACACAGGATGCCGCAGGCTTGCCGGCTTACCCCGACAGTTGAAATGATGAGGCGGGTTATGCATACCAACACACTTCCACGGGAAATGGCCTTTTCCATTTGGTTTTTTGGCGTCACAAAACGACGCACCCCAAATGCATAAAAAGGCCTGCTCCTGACGATTGTTTTGCGGGAGGGATTCTCAAAGAACGACATCGCCCATCGAGAGCCCATGCTATCCATGAGACATGTCCCACCGGTCTGTCCTTGCTGTGGCCCGTCCATACCTTACATAGCGTCTGCTGAGGTCAGTTTAGGGCTTTTCTAAGGGAAACTTCCAACCATTCGTTTCAGGGATCCTTCAAGACTCGGAAAGCCACCCAAGCCCGGGATTTTGAAAGCTGGTGGTTGGACATGGTGGTGGTCAAATTTGTAGCTTCACGTGCTTAAAAACTGCCAAGATAAGATTTAGTGCTGAAGCTGCAGCAGCAAGGAATTCTTATAGTGTCCATGGACATGTGCAAAAAATATGAACATTAGCTGGACAAACACGTAGAGATAATTGCGCACGCCCCAACACCGTATTACTTGCCCTTAGATCACAGATTTCAGCGTTGCTACTGTTGGAAACTCGACATTTGTGATGCGATGCTCGGCCAGCTTGGCAAACTTTCGGAGTTTCACGTATTCGATGGCTGAAGCATTCCCTGAGTTATTTGGCTTTTGCTGCGGCCCATGCCTTCAAACAAAGTTCTTCGACCGCTCTGTGACTCCCCCTTGGGCCCAAAGTTGTGACAAAGATCAATTTCAAATTCCCGCAAAGTGGTGCAGCAGTTCTTCCATCCACGGTGGAAAGTTCCCCCCCATGTGTCAGGGCAATGTCCGACTTTGAAGGGCAGTTAAGGGCCCAGGTTCCTGGACGGCGGATTTCCACTGGCAGAAAAGCGGATGTGAAGCGATATTGACAAATACTTGTTGTTTCTAAAAATAAGTCTGCCCAAAATCATGCTACAATTCAGAGGGGCGGCTGAAGTGGACCATCGCCATACTTTATCACTTGAGGGTTCGCTTGGTATAGTGGAAACTGGTCCTCAAAACGCAGTTTTCCACCACCAAGTGCTTATTATCTCTCTCCGTAAAATCATTTTTCCACAACCGCGCGCTTATTTTGAGAACCCCCCCCCCCCCCACGTCTCCAGGACTTTCAACATGCCTGCAATTTCAGCCACGGTGCGTCGATGGTACCAGAAAGGCCCCCGTGTAGCACGACGTTGCGGGCGATGACCACATGCACCTGGGAACAGTATGGGCGTGTATTTTTCACGGTACATGATTTGGTGTTGGTTTAGGGGGAAAAAATAGGCAACCGCCAGCTTTTGGGGGTTCAAATCTACACCCGTAACCACCGGAGGAAACCTGTTTAGAAAACTCTTGCAAATACCATCAATCAGGGGAGAGTGATGGGAGTTTATAAATATTAGGTGGTCCGATTTTTCCCCCAGAGATCAAGGGACTAAAGCCAAAGTGTTTAGTCGCTATGAAGCTCTGGCCATACGCCCTGGGAGGACCGGTGCTGATCGAAGGCCCAAGTGTCTCTCCTTGTGATCAAAATTTGAGCGTCTCTTGCTATAGGGGGGCCCCAACAATGATTGGCTTCCGTCTAATTTCTCTTGAAACCCCAAGCAGGGTGCCCTCCCACAAAGAATTTACGTCACATGTCCATTTGCTGCAAATGACCAACCTGATTTGTTGGACTCCCGAATTGAGGTGATGTGTATGCACTTTCTACCTGTAAGCTCGCCACAAACGTGTGCAAATTCGCAGCGCTGTGACTTGGTCACTCATGAGTTAACCCGAACCCTTTTGCCCCAGCTGGTACAATTCAGCCCTTATTGTTTACTGTCTAGTGGGTTTACAATACTATTAAACACATTGTCAAGCATCCGGATTCCAAAGCCTAAAGCAAGCCTCAAGTCGGCGGCCAACCGTCTGACTGTACATCTGGTTCGCTTACATGGTCAGGGAGAAGCAAGGCACAGTCATCATCCCCTATAACCCCTACATCTTCGAGTGAACATGCTTGCTCCTTTGAGTTTGCTCAAAAGTGGGAATCCGCCCCGCTATGTCACCAGTGACGCGGGAGTTACACTGATGTTGAGAACCCCCCAAACGTGGCCAGACTTAGACCCCTGCAAAAAGTTAACTTTTGGCCGGTTGAAAAAAGTATCAAAGGGCATGCCCTCAAAATATCTCTGTTCATGTGCATCGCGAAGGCCAGCATTTCGAAGCAACAGCGACTACGGCGTCATTCCGAACTAGAGCGACCGCAGAACCGCAAAGTTGCAGATATACTTATTCTCTTCAATCACACCAAAATGTTGGGCAAAGTCACGTCACTCGCCATTCAGGTGGCCAAACTGATGTCAAAGTTCCTAACACTATCAACCTCAATCAGGTTGGTTGACAGAATGCGCGTTCCACCAAACTAAATCGTCACGATTTGGTGTAGTACCGCGGAATCTCAAGACTTCGCTACGTCAGCCATTCTGGTCCGCCCTGGCTCTGCCAAGTACTCCCCTCTGGTCCAAAACCCGCATATCTACTCCTCGGCCCAAGCTTGGCAAAAACAAGGCTGGAAAATGCAAACCATTTATAGCTCGGTTTAACCTACCAAACACCAGCGTGGAACCTGAAATAAATAGGCCCCTGCAACGGACATGGCCTACAGTTTCCATATTTGTTTTCAGGACATTAGATTGGCGATCAGGTTCAGCAAGGGGCAGCGATCAACCACCAAACTTGAGTGGCTTGGTGGTTTCTCCACTCGCACAACTTCACACGAAACGACCACAAATGTGTACAAAAACTGGGTACAAGGGACGGGGCATTTTGCAAAGTACGCTACAATTCCAAATTCTAAAGTAGGAGACCCACAAGTAAAAGACCTTCAGCATGGTGAGCTTGTTTTACCCTGTATTGGTAAGCTCGCCTCATGAAACATTAGGTGTGATCATATCCAGGCTATCCAAAGGCTATACAGGATCCCCCTTCACCTCCTTAAAGCAAATATGGAGCCAAAGTGAACTCGAAGAGTCCGTACGCAGTCACTTGGGCTTGGCTGTAAAAACAAAAAACAACTCTGGGTTGCAAAACACATGCTGGTTCTGCTGCATCTTTAGTCTACCTCAGTGGATCCATGTACCTGTTTAGTGGGTAACCAAGGGAACCACCCATTAAAAACCCAAAAAAGAAAAGAGTAGCTGGTTCCCGACTATATGCCGCCCTCGAATGCAAACCAAAAAACAATCGGAGTTAATGTGGCCACCATTTCTTACCGAAGGATCTTCATTTACAAATTAGGTCTGCCATGATGTTGTTTGAACCCCAGGGTATGGGTAACTGGGATCCATACCTTAAAACATGTCTGGAGAGCCCCCCCCCCTCCCGCGAACTTCAGGGCCCCTGGCCGGATCAACCTCCAGGGAGGCGATGTGGACCTTGGCTTCGACACTGAGGCCACGGTAAAGGGACAACATTGATGTTGGTTGGTGTTGTTTTGGCTATGGGTCAAAACCCAAATCGGTTAGCCTCCAGTGAACATCAACCAATCCAACCACTAAAATAGACTAAAATGAGTGGTGCACCACCCCAAAATGGTACCATTGGTGTTGACCCACGGCCACTTATTGCTGTTGCTAGACACCATTGGTTGATGTTGGCTGATGTTGGTTGATGTTGCAAGGACCAGAGCCACTTGAATTGCTTGAGTTGCTCTTGGTTGATTTTGGAAAAACCGGCAAACAAAGAAAACAAGGCCACCAGGGTCCCGAAGATGACGTTATCTCCGGCTGCAACCTGCGAATCAATTGAGGGCTCCAAACTTGAAACCTGACAGGTGCATTTTCCCGTTTCGGCAGTGCAGGCTGCTTGGCAACGTGCGGGGCTTACCCCACCAAAGCGGGACATGCGTGTCTTTGGCAATGGATTTAGGTGAGAAATGATCCGTTTCCTAAGACTATTTCGGGGTGGAGAACATATATTGACGGTCTTTTCTTGCTGTTTTCTCACGTGTAAGGGCCCTCTTAGGCTTCGCCTGGGCACCGGAAATCCCCAGTTTCTACTATGATCAAAGACCAATTCTGCCGCGTAGACAAGAAATACCCCCAACAACACAGTTCCCACACGCTACAATTGAGCAATCTGCAAGCAGGACGCCCTGAGTTGCGCAGTTGAGCCCTAGAGTCCCCAAATGAGTCTTTTCTTGAGAGCACCCTTTTTGGAACCCTGGCGGGGTCTTTGGGGGGGAGAGTCTCGTTAAGGACTTATCCTAGGCTTCTGACTAGGTCCTCCAGTAGAGAGGCTAGAATGAGGGTACTTGATTTTTCTTCTGTAGTCTATTTTAGTGGGGGAACCCTCCCAACAAAAAACGGGGTTTGAAAAGGGCACCTAGCTGGGGGACCTAGAATCGTTTGATCCTCGAGGCGCCCTGTTGGAAGAAAAGCAGCGACTGAAACGAGTGACACCTATCTTGTTCAACGGAGACATTGGTCTGCCTCAAAGTGGGGGGGTGTTCTGCTTGGCATCGCTGCGGACCCGACAACCCCCGAAATACAAGGATTAGGAGCTTAGAAAGCCTTATCGGAAAAACAAGCATACTAAATGAGCCCAGATCAAGGCATTTTCGTGAAGGGGTCATGCCGTTTGTGTCAGAATCAAAACGGATTGGTACTAAAGAAGTTTACCCAGAACCAGCTTCAAGAACTAACAATGCACCCATTTATGGCTACACGGGTTTCGATTGTGGCTCATTTCATAGCTGTACCTTTTTTATCCTCTTCAGAGGTCTCTAACTGGGGCCGAAGCCCAAGGAAAATGGGTTTCCAAAGAGAAGGATGGGTGAAGAGAGGGAACCAACCCCTAAATCGGAAAAACCACACCTGAGTCTCAATCAAAACCCTGTATCAAAATGGTCTATACCCAGAACCATGTAAGGAATTAAGAAGGGCGGCCGCAGCTATTTATGGTTGGGATTGTCCCTTACTAACGTTCATCTACCCGGGATTTGAGGACGTGGCTCACCTAGAAGACGAGACAAAATCAGTTTTGTATTTGCTTTTTGTTTGGGCGAGTGGGGTCCCCAACCAGTCGCGTCTCCGCCGGCAAAAAAAACGCAAACGGAGCTGGAGCCCCCGGCGCCCGGCAGCGCCAGAGCCATGCGCGTGGACTCAGATTCGCGGCCAAGGTGCCAAACCCTCGTGACCCTGTTGCACCGGCAAATCCACATGGAACCCGGTTCTTAGGCGTCCCGAAAAGCAGAATCCCCGCCAAAAACAAAGTAGGTGGGACCGTTTACTCCCTACCCCGCTTGGATTGGGAGAAATATCGCACTTGGGTCAGAGCCGAATACCCACAGTAGGCGCCAACTTCCAGGACGCCTCAGGCGGAAGGATTCGGACTGAAGAGGTCCGAGTTCCGTTTACTTTCCCAAGAAGCGCGCCATAAATGGAATACCCCTCCCCCTCCATGCCAGTGCCAACCTCGGATTCATCCGGACCAGAAAAGGGGCGGCAACACTCTTTTGGAGGGGAGTGACTTCATTTGCGGAACGTTTCTTGGAGGAGAGCACCAGTCTCCGAATGCATGCGTGTTTTGGCGATACAAAGGCGCTTTTTGCCGAGCTCTGTTCTAGGCAGGTGTCCCAAAGGCGTTTTTTGAAGGAACATGTGTTTTTTGATGGAAACGACTAACATTTATGTAGTTACGGCAAAAAGCGGAAAGTCTCCACTCCGGGTTTTCTAGGTGTACATGAACATATGGCTGTGGGTCAAAAAAAGGTACCCCAATGTACCCCTAGTAAGTGGAACCTGAGGCCCCCTGGTGGTTCAATTTCGACCAATGCCCATATGAGCACATGTACATGTACATGGATATGGTCATGGGTCAAAACCCAAATCGGACCCCCAGTGAACATCCCAATCCCCACTAAAATAGGTTCTAAAATGGTGAATCCACCTACCCCAAAATGAGACCCCATTGGCTTTGACTGACCCACAGCCAGGTTTTTGGGTCGTTTCCCGAGCCACGAGGCTGCACTGCAAGTCCCCGCAGGTCAACGGGCCGCCCCTCACCGCCTGGCCCAAGCTGGTTGGCCCGGTGGCTCGGCGGGGTTGGGCCGTACCAGTCCTTACCTAGGTCTTCCAGATCTGAGAGGTTCGAAGAAGAAGGTTACCACCCGATTTTCTTCTCCCCCAAAAAGGAAACGGTAAAAGGGCACCTAGCTGGGGGACCTAATTACCCTTCCCAGTTTTGCGGTCCGGTGGCATAGTGGGAGGGAGGCAAGGGGTGAATTGGGATGGTTCAGATTTGATTGGTTTAGGTGGGCTGAGGCTTTAATCGGACGGGTTGGTTGCGGCTTTGTCTCACATGTGGGTTGTGTTAAAGTGGATTGTCTGTTGGCATGCTAGTGGGAGGGAGGCAAGGGGTGAATTGGGATCGTTCAGATTTGATTGGCTTAGGTGGGCTGAGGCTTTAGTCGGACGGGTTGGTTGCGGCTTTGTCTCACATGTGGGTTGTGTTAAAGTGGATTGTCTGGTGGCATGCTAGTGGGAGGGAGGCAAGGGGTGAATTGAAATGGTTCAGATTTGATTGGTGTAGGTGGGCGGCTGAGGCTTTAGTCGGACGGGTTGGTTGCGGCTTTGTCTCACATGTGGGTTGTGTTAAAGTGGATTGTCTGGTGGCATGCTAGTGGGAGGGAGGCAAGGGGTGAATTGGGATGGTTCAGATTTGATTGGTTTAGGTGGGCTGAGGCTTTAGTCGGACGGGTTGGTTGCGGCTTTGTCTCACATGTGGGTTGTGTTAAAGTGGATTGTCTGGTGGCATGCTAGTGGGAGGGAGGCAAGGGGTGAATTGGGATGGTTCAGATTTGATTGGTTTAGGTGGGCTGAGGCTTTAGTCGGACGGGTTGGTTGCGGCTTTGTCTCACATGTGGGTTGTGTTGAAGTGGATTGTGTGGTGGCATGCTAGTGGGAGGGAGGCAAGGGGTGAATTGGGATGGTTCAGATTTGATTGGTTTAGGTGGGCTGAGGCTTTAGTCGGACGGGTTGATTGAGGCTTTGTCTCACATGTGGGTTGTGTTAAAGTGGATTGTCTGGTGGCATGCTAGTGGGAGGGAGGCAAGGGGTGAATTGGGATGGTGGGGGTTCAGATTTGATTGGTTTAGGTGGGCTGAGCTCACATGTGGGTTGTGTTAAAGTGGATTGTCTGGTGGCATGCTAGTGGGAGGGAGGCAAGGGGTGAATTGGGATGGTTCAGATTTGATTGGTTGAGGTGGGCTGAGGCTTTAGTCGGACGGGTTGGTTGCGGCTTTGTCTCACATGTGGGCTGTGTTAAAGTGGATTGTCTGGTGGCATGCTAGTGGGAGGGAGGCAAGGGGTGAATTGGGATGGTTCAGATTTGATTGGTTTAGGTGGGCTGAGGCTTTAGTCGGACGGGTTGGTTGCGGCTTTGTCTCACATGTGGGTTGTGTTAAAGTGGATTGTCTGGTGGCATGCTAGTGGGAAGGAGGCAAGCGGTGAATTGGGATGGTTCAGATTTGATTGGTGTAGGTGGGCTGAGGCTTTAGTCGTGTTAAAGTGGATTGTCTGGTGGCATGCTAGTGGGAGGGAGGCAAGGGGTGAATTGGGATGGTTCAGATTTGATTGGTTTAGGTGGGCTGAGGCTTTAGTCGGACGGGTTGGTTGCGGCTTTGTCTCACATGTGGGTAATGTTAAAGTGGATTGTCTGGTGGCATGCTCAGGGGAATAGAGAGTGGTTTGATTGGTTTAGGTGGGCTGAGGCTTTAGTCGGACGGGTTGGTTGCGGCTTTGTCTCACATGTGGGTTGTGTTAAAGTGGATTGTCTGGTGGCATGCTAGTGGGAGGGAGGCAAGGGGTGAATTGGGATGGTTCAGATTTGATTGGTTTAGGTGGGCTGAGGCTTTAGTCGGACAGGTTGGTTGCGGCTTTGTCTCACATGTGGGTTGTGTTAAAGTGGATTGTCTGGTGGCATGCTAGTGGGAGGGACGCAAGGGGTGAATTGGGATGGTTCAGATTTGATTGGTTTAGGTGGGCTGAGGCTTTAGTCGGACGGGTAGTTGGTTGCGGCTTTGTCTCACATGTGGGTTGTGTTAAAGTGGATTGTCTGGTGGCATGCTAGTGGGAGGGAGGCAAGGGGTTAATTGGGATGGTTCAGATTTGATTGGTTTAGGTGGGCTGAGGCTTTAGTCGGACGGGTTGGTTGCGGCTTTGTCTCACATGACGGTTGCCTCTTAGAGTGGATGGTTGACAAGGTTTCCTAGCATCCCCCTACCCCAAGGACACTTACTTCAAGTTGGCACAGAAGGTGATGCTCAAACCACCCAAGAAGGACAATCTAGAGGCCGCTATTGGGATGGGCACAGATTCAGAACTTGCATCGTGCTTTCTCAAGAAACGGGTTGGGTGCTATACTGAAACTTGTTTGTTACATGAACAGACACACATCGGTTTCCTGACATGTGATCCTTGCTAGATGATCCAGAACAACCCCCTATAGCAAGTTTGCGTCTGCAGCGCGTGCAATCCCAGTAAAGCAATCATCGCGGAGTTTCCCTGGGGTTGAAGCCCCATGAAAACCGTGGCTGACCCAATTTGGATGATGGTTCCCAAACAAAGGAAACCAAATAGGGGATGGTTTTTCTGGGGGTCATTCCATGTCTCATTCCCTGCTGATCGAACCAAGATGTGGTTTGTAGGGGTCATTACCTCATTCCCTGCCTATCGAACCAAGGAGACAACGGAGTCCCTGGGCCAACTTACAGCAACGAAGGAAACGAGGCGTTTGGCGGGTCCCGCGCCCGCGTCAGGACTTCCGTCTTGATGCCGCCGGCAATCTGGGCGGCATGCTTAAACCCCGAATGCAAATACCCACGTTAAGCACGGCCCAGCCATGTTCAAAAGGTACCAAAGGACTTCTGTGGGAAGTTCAACACGGGAAAAGACTGGACGCTAGGACCAATTGCCATGAAATTGATATTACCAAAGGTGCACCTGATCAAAATGCGATGTTGCCTTGCTAGATACGTTCATGTACCGAACAATCACTGACTGATGGCTGAAGGTCTTGCGAGTAAGCCCAGGCACAATACATACCACACATAGTCAGGCACAAAGCTGGGACACAACACCAGGAGCTTGTATGATTGGAATCGTTCTGCTCACAACCAACCAAATTTCAAACACTTGCCGTCAAGTATGCTCGTTTTCAATGAAGGAAATGTAGCCTAAATGTTCAGCCACCTAGTGATCCATGATCCAAAAGCTAAAAGGGGCGAGGATGGTTTCTTCCACCTGTCCAATACCGCGGCGGATGCCGAAAATATAGCTGTTGTTTTGACACAAACCATGGCACAGCTCCCTACACCTTCGTAGGTCCAAAATATTGCAAGGGGAAGAGGGGAGGCCTGAGACTGAACCGCAATTTACCCGTCAGACGGATTGCGGCGCCGGCGGGGCTTCCATCAGTGGAAACCACCCACTTGACGCTTGCCCAATGTTTTGCAGGACCAACCCATGGGATAGCATTTCATTTTGGGTCTGCGAAATGAAAACAATGGGCTTATGCATTAGCAGCTTCGCAGAAAAGTGAAACTGGAACCATGTCTTGGAACTTACAAATGGAACCGTTTTTTGTTTGGTGTGTCTTTGGGGAACCTTCCAAGCACCCCAAACTGACGACTGCCTCGCTCGCTCCCTCTCTCTCTCTCTCTCCTCTCTTTTTCCTCTCTCTCTCTCTCAAGGGTCGGATCCCTTAAACAAACCTTACTGAGGCCGTACTCTACCCAACCGAACTCGCCCAAACAACAGGCTAGGTTGCGAGAAAACAAAAACAACATAGACCCCCAGATAGCTGTGCTTGCACACCGGCACCTCCAAGAGCACCCCCCCCGAAGAACGCCCAAAGCAAAACCCAGTTCGTCAATCGAGCAAATATGCATCACCCTAAAGACAACACCCCAAAGAGCACCCCCGAAGACACCCAGCCATCAATCTTGAAAAAACCAGCCAACACCCCAAACAGAATCCCAAAGCACCACCTGAGCTGCATGCCCCCTTGCACCCTACCGTCAAGATGCAAACATGCGCCTGCACCGACACCTGCATGCCTGATAGCACCCGAGCGTCAACATCGCAAAAATGCGCCCGCGCGCGCACCGTCGCCAGCGCCTCAAACAGCTCCCCACAAACTGCGTCCCACAGCACCATCAGCATCAGCACCCCAAACTGCATTCCCCCCTGTGGTTGCCGTCAAGATGCAAAAAAAAAGCGCGCGCACCGTCACCCCTCAAAACAGCACCTGCACAAGCAACCCAAACTGAATCTTGAAAAAGATGCGCCCGCACTGCCATCAGCACCTCAAACAGCACCCCAATCAGCACCTACACCAGCACCCCAAACTGCACGCCCCCTAGCACCAGCCCATCAATCTTGCAAATCACTTCCCCTCTTTATTAGAAGTCTCAGCTATCTGGGGGGAAAAAAAGAAGTCACCGGGGTGGGAGTCCCTTTTGGGGATAACCAAATCGAAGCCCAATCCTTTCCTTGTGCTTGCAGAAAAGGAAGCAACACTCACTTCTCTGCAGTGGCATAACGAAGCAAACGTTGCTTGCTCACTCCATTCCCATGGGTTCCTCTTGAGACCGCCGGTAAAAAACGGACGATCCCAGACGTGACATATTTGCCCAGGGTAAGTGCATATGTGACTCCCTGTTGACCTGTTGTGAACCCAACTTAGCCTAACTAATTACAATGGATTAACTACCCACCAGTCATGGCTTAATTCTGGAAAAGCCAGAATAGCAGGAGCCCAAAATGAATCCCGAGCCTTCGACTCTGGGCCTTTACTGACAGTGCGCGGAATTCCACAACGCTAAGTCCAATCTTCGTCAAACTCCTGGGAAAGCTGAAGCCAGCCAGGGGAACACCCGGTATCCAAGGTGATTGAGTCCAATCCAGTAAACGGGGTATACAACCATTCAACAAAACATTGCATCAAAAGCTTAACATAACTTTACAATACATAAAACATGTATATATATATATTGATTTATTGCGTTTCTGTATGTGTATAATTACATATATTACACATGTACATATACATATACGCATGCCCCCAGTTTCCATTCCACTTCCCCCCGGGTCCTTACCTTTCCCTTTTCTTTTTTGGATAGGAAGTTCCAACCATTTCGCTCCCCTCACCGCTTCACCGACCGCTTCGGCTCACCTTGAGCCAGAGCTTGGCCTTGCCCCGCACCAGGACCTCATCCCCAAAGCTCTCGATGGCCTAGAGGCTTTTGACGCCTTTGACCGCCGCGAAACGGCCCCAATCCGCTCGATCGGACGCGAGAACCTCTTGGGATCTGAACCCCTCACCAAGATGGCGATCGCAAGCATGGCACCATGGCTATGGCGCCTTCTTTGTAGATGTTGCTGGTTGGATTCAAAAGGACACCAAAAGGATCAACTTTTTTCGGGGTCGCCCTTTTTAGTCTGCCACATACCCAAATGGTGAAGAGGAGTTTATGCAGGCATATTCCAGGTTCGAAGTGCAATTCTAGCGGATGGAATGCGAGGGCTGTGTGCCTCCCCCCAAGCAATTGGATCCTACGGGGCAATCCCCTTAGTTGGCAAGAGGAGCCATGAACCACCGTTTTACTTTTGTGCAGCATTGATTCGCAAAAACAAAAACAAAAACCAAGTGGCCAAAAGGTTTCGCCTCGCCGGGACTCCGGGGACGCCTTTCGGACACACAAACGCTGATCCTTTCTGTTGACCGATACAAGGGATAAAGTACAACGCAGGAAGTGAGTTTTGCCTTTTTTTACCAAACTATCAGTTCCTTGTTTTTATTTGTTCGGTAAAACAACGAGTAAATGATGTAAAATGTCAAAACCTGTGGGCAATAAGTGCGCAGTCAAAATGTGCTACCCTACGTCCCCTGTTTCGCTCCCAAATGGACCATTGACAACTGGACATGTTGACCGAACCTCATATCAACAGTGCTCAAACCCGTTGACTTTTGGTTGGACATGGTCATACACGCAAAAAATACGCCCAACTATAAGCCCCATCGAACCAGGTACATAGCACCTTTTACTAAAACGTTCGGGCTGCAATCAGGGGTCACTGGATTTCCCCGAATCACAAGTTGACCAATTGGCTGGTGGCTTCCATGGGAAAATCCTACTTTTGGAAGTCCAAAAAAGGAACATGGAGAGAACTCATGTAAATCTCACTTCCTGAGTGGACTGACAAAAAGAGTTTAAACCTTTACTCACCACTAAAATGGTCCAAGGCCAAAAAGTTTCAAGTCTGGAGAGTGGATTGGCCAAGAAAAGCAAGCTTTTTGTTTGCCCTAAACTGGCCCACACCCAAAAGAAGCGAGAAATGGAATCCCGCGGATTATTTCTGCTGCGAATCCATCCATCCGGATTCGCCTCGCAGATTGCCACGGGGTCGCCCGGCGGCACCTCCTCCACTACGCGCTGCAGTAACCGCAGCTCCTTACGCACGCGTGAAAGTCAGGCCATGGGGCTTCGAAGCAGGGACTCACCTCACTTTTTTTCCCCAATCACAGCAGTAAAGCTATAAAAGGCGACTCCGGTCTGGCTCGTTCTTTTTCACGTGGCTCGGGCGCTTGTCCATAGAGAAGCTGTCTCCTTATCGGACCACTTCTAATCCCATCTTCTCGCAAAGCTTCTTCACTATGCATCTCGTGCCCTCAGGTAGGATTGGATGAATCTTGACATCTCCCCATGAAGGGTTGTGAACTTGGTTGGAGAGTAGAGTCCAAACCTGTTGCAATGCGTCTTCGGGGATCTGCGTGCTGTCGCATGCTTTTGCGGAGCTGTGCAGGAGTTCAGACCAGCATCCTGCCTTCGGATTCTTGCTTGCCATCGGCAAAACGTCTGCTGTGATGCATTTCCCCTTCATGTTTCCTGCCTTCTTCTGCTCATTGAATGCAAGTTGCACCACTCGTTCAAAGACGCCACGCGCAGTCATTAGCCCCTTTGCTCGCAGAAGGTCTTCTTCAAACTTCTCCATCCTCACTTGGAGGACCTCTCCTTCTCCACCAGCACCTTCTCCTTCTCCACCAGCACTCCATCTTTTTTGGAGGACATCCTTCTCCTTCTCCACCAGCAACTTCTCCTTCTCCATCCTCTCTTCAAGGACATCCTTCTCCTTCTCCACCGTCGGAAACGTCGGGAAGCCGTCGGAAACGTCGGGAAGCCGTCGGAAACGTCAGGAAGACGTCGGGAAGCCGTCGGAAACGTCGGGAAGCCGTCAGAAACGTCGGGAAGCCGCCGGAAAGCCGTCGGACAGTTTTCAGAAACCGCGGAATGCCAGCATGAGTGAGATTGCCGTCGGAAAGCAGATGTCGGAAAGCCGTCCGAGATCTGTGTTTGCTAGGAAATACTTGCGCTTACCGATTTTTCCGTGGCAACTGAATCTTTTGTTTGCCGGCCAGGACGGTGTGCGGGCCAATAACTGTCAAAGCGATAGTTATTGAATGATCGATAGTGGTTGCGGACTCCGAGCAGCCGGGGCTCTCGCTACGAGGGGTCGTGTTTCTATGGCCTCTCGCCATTCTGTCCCTGAGGGCCCAATGCCAAACGACGCCCCGAAAAGAGTTGGGATCCTTAGGGAAAATGTAAAACAATCAACCGGAAAAATCCGATAAACATACGTTTTAAACAAAGGGAACAAATAAAAGCATCATACTATTTCATTTTAATATTTTGCACCACCTATAATTCATTGTAAGTAGGCAGGCAAGATTCCCCAGATTCGCTCGCCATGGCTCGTGACTACCGTTCCCTGGCAACTTTCGTTGCGCTGTGGTGGAGCTCATCTTGGTGTTTTGGCTCGATGCCTGGCGACACGCGTCCAATGAGGACGGCTCGCCCTGCGTCGTCCATTCCGGACAGCGCGTTGCTTCAAAGCATTTGTGAGATTGAAGACGCCGAAAAGAGGATGAAAGCATTCTGATATTTCCGACGGCTTCCCGACGTTTCGTTTCCGACGGCTTTCCGACGTTTCCGACGGCTTTCCGACGCTCGGGCCCTCGCGGGCCCTCGGTTTGCCTAGTTTTGAGGGCCCAAGCGTTAGCTTCCCGACGTGGCTCCGACGCCAGAACTTGACGCGCGCCGTTCCAATCGGCACTCAACTGGCCCATAAATACAAACTGTGACTGTACGCCATTGCAAGCCAATAGCAGCGATAGCGCGTAATTAACCAGAGGAATTTTGCACGGCTCATGGGCCTGTCAGACACGCACAAACAAGCAAAGTCAGCAACCTTTTGGCAAACACGGGATAACACGGGACTCCTGCCAAGAAGCTGCGAATTGCCAAACAAGTGAAGACACATCACCAGCCCACAAGTACATCCGAAACAACAGGTTACGCGTGAGCGATAACACGGTGGACTCAAGCCGCCCAGCCTTCATCCATAGCGCCTGGCCTTTTTTAGAACTATCTGAAAAACGGAATTTTGTTCTGCGCAGGGGTGTCGTTGCGGTGGCCAGTTGGGTTTCAGACCTTGTCGCGTGCGCTCAAAACCCCGGAACGTCGTCAGTAGGGTATTTAGGCCGGACCCTTTCAATGCACATCCCGACCCTTCTAATATGACATACCAAAGAGCCTTAGGGTTGGTGAATAGACTGTTTTTTGTTTAACAAATAGTGCGAGGGCTTGAGCCAAATGCGCGCGCTTTTGACGAAAAGTGGCGAGAGCAAACAAATGCGGCGCTGTGTTTCATTTGGTTTTGCATGGACATGCTCTCTTCTAACTGAGCCTCCTGACGAGGTGCAGTAGGTGGAAGCGCAGGAAGGGAACCGCAGGAAGGAAGCGATTTCGGGTGGGGAAAAGCGAGCCGAAGCCCTTCGGCCAAGTCAAACCCAGAAAAAAAAGAACCACAACAATTAACCTCATCAAGTGACCTAAACATAAAACACTAAAAAGTGGCAACAAAACGTTTACTCTCCCAACAAAAAGAAACAGTCAACCATTTCAGATTACAACATTTGATAAAACATACCAGCCTTACAAGTGAACACTGAACCCACAAGCTTTGAAATCACAACATAACAGTCAAACGTTTCGATTTGCAACATTAAACAAAAGACATAACCAGCTACCAACTGGAGGTTAGAATAAGGGTACCCTTTTTCTGTAGTCTATTTAGTAGCGGAACCCTCCCCCAAAAAGGATAAAAGGGCAATAGTGGGGGACCAAGATGTCTGTTCTAAGCTGAAATTTGATTCGGATCCCGCACGGAACTTCTTTACTTGCTGGTTTGATAGGCGGGGACTGAGAAATTGAACGAATCGGGGAACAAACAACAATACAATCCGACTGGTAGTTTCTTTTCACGGAATCCCCTTCCAGTTCATTCCCAAACACCCGGAAGGTCATTCCCTAGCTATCGCACCAGCAAGGTTAGTCCAAGAGCTTAACAAAAACACCGTGGGGTGGCTGCACTTTGCCCATGAAACTGTAAAAACCCATCAGAAGAGGAGCCTCATGGGAAACCACTGAGCGGTGTACGATCCACAAATAGCACCAGCGACACTAGGGTTCCCCTGGTCCAATTCAAACCATTCCATGTCTTTACCCAGCTTTCAGTGATCCAGAATTCGGATCTCCAGAAGCAGGAAAACTAGCAAGGTAACATACACAAAAAGACAGTCTCAAAAAACACGACTATCTGAAAACCAGGAAGAAGGCAACTGCAGAAATGGAGTCAACAGCAACACAAACCCACCAGTAGCAACAATTATATTTGCGCACGGAGGTGGAAACACCGCAACAACACCTACGGCTTCTGCGTTGAGGGAATCATCGTGTTGTCTTTCCTTCATGGAGGCTGGAGGCCAAATAAGCCCCCAATAAGGCCTTGATAAGGGCTTATATGGGCTCCCGCCCCCTCCCCTCCCGCCCCCCCCCCCAGCGCCCCATGATTCCTCTCTTCCATTTGATCTGGCCTTCCAAAGCAGAAAAGTTGTGAGCCCTGCCATACGGCGATGGACCTTGAAAAAACCATCGCCTGCCATGAAGGCGACTCTGAAGGTCCGGTATCTCATTTCCCCAACCCATCCAATTGCCGAAGTCGGAACAAAAACAATACATTGGTTCAATTTGAAGTAGGGAACAAACAAATAACATAGATTCCTTTTCCAGCAGAGAAAAAAACCGAAATATTCATCTTGTCTATTTCAGACTTCGAAAGAAACCTCAACCCAGCACACCTGAGAACTTCCTATCGGGAGTACGAGTCCCATGGCTCCTTCGCATAGGGCTGGCCCGCGCGGACCCGGATGCCAGACCGCGGGCGCCTCGCGGTCTCGCGGCTCGCGGTCGCGTCCCCGGCGGGGGGGTGGGTGTCGTCTTGTGGGATTTTCAGTTCGACGTCCATGAAACGCAACATCAAAACCGTGGCTTTCTGGTACCCTCAGAACCAACAGCTTGACTTTCATGGAGGTTGAGGGATGGAACAACGTGGCCCAATTGTTTGCAAATCACCCAAATGGGCATGTGTTGTTCAGGCTATCTTAAGTTGTTGATGGCTCTCAAAGGAAAGGACAAGCCACCATTTGTCTTGCTGGGTGTTTCAGACAACATATGAACATGGAGTCACCTTCACTCAGCTTCTAGACTCTTTATGGGGGGTCCAACCTCAAAAAGAGACCCCTAATCTTTCAAATGGGTACTTGGGTGTGCGGCCAAGTTAGTCAGTGGTTAGTAACCATGGATGGCTTCACATTACAACTGGCCAGACCCAGTCGAAAGTTGGTTATACCCTCAGATGCCCAGCCATGGGATAAAAATGATTGGCATCCTTCTTTGGTTGGTTGAGTTTGAAGGAACCGAAACCCTTCCCTAAAACACATGAAAAAGGGGCGGAATCATCTGGGCAACCAGTTGGCGAATCAAACATCCAAGTAATGCCTCTCGCAAAGAACCAACCGGGGCGGAGCTTCCATGATTGGAAAGAGGGTTCGGGCCTAAGAGCAGCAACCATCCAAGTAACAGCAGGATTTGCCAACCCAACGCCTGGGCGCCGGCGGCCGGAAGTCGTCCCCCAGCGGCTTCAGCTGGCCCGGCGTATGCCCCGGCACTGCCTCGCCAACCGCCCAGTTTGAGCCACGTCTGAATGGGGTTGACCTGTCGCCAGAAAAGTGGATTCCAGGAGTCCTCCCTTTGAATCAACCCCAATAAGACACTATAGCTTTTGTTTGTCTCCGAATTTAAGGATTCCAGGATGCCCTTTCCTCCATTTGCGGATACGGCCCCTGGAACAAAAAAACAAGTATGTCCAGTAGTGATCGATTCCCTTTGAAACCAACCGGGGAAGCTAGAACATATTCTTAACCAAATGAAAGCTTTGACCTAACCCCTATAAGGTAGCCTCAACAAAAAGACACACCCACCTCTAGCTGCCCTGGGAAACAAGATGGGCTCCACGTGACAAGGAATGGATCGAACATATGGGAGGAGGCGAGCCTCGATGCAAAGGGTGCAGCAAAACACCCCGACGGGGTGTAGGTCGTTTTGAGGCTGAGCGGGAAAGCCGCACCCAAATGCGTTAGTACTGAAGCTCAGTCAAGCAACATCATGCGTGCTGCATTGGGCGGCTGCAAGAAGCAAAGGTATCACTTGCTCAGTCTCTTAGTCTCCAGTCCTCTGAACATAAATGTGGTGCTGTTTCTCGAAGCACAGCTGCGGTCCGAAAGAAATTTATTCCGCTCCACTGCTAGGCTTGCAGCCTGTGAGCGCGTGAATAAGTCTCGCAAGTCATCTTGAACTGACTCTGAGGCAAGAAAAGTCAATGCGTCCATTCTTGTAAAGCCTCTTTCTGGAGCAACCCCAGCACCCCCGGTCTAGGAAACAGATCGCTTCCTTCACGTGTCAAGCGTGCGGACTCAAGCTTCCGAAATCCAGATTCTGCTGGACAAACGGAAACCAGCGAATTCAAAGTGGGAGTTAAACACTAGTCATGTGCTTTCTCGAATGTCTCCGATGAATCACAATTGTCTTGAGTAATTACAAAAATAGGAACCACACAACACATGATTGCTTGCCCAGAGGCACCCCCGTTCTGAGTAGCTTGGCGGCTTTTACCAAGGCTGCGGCAAATGAACTGTGCTCTGGTATGATGCACGGTACGTGGACGGTCAGAAACCGGACAGATCTCATTGCTCAACTTCTAACATGGTGCTGCGCAACGTGGTCCACGCCGAAATTACGGGTTGTATCCGGATTAAATGCAGGGGCTACAAAACAAGTAACGCGGCATGTGGCGAGTGGCACAAGCAAAAGTTCAGGCATTTCATTCACACGCCCCTTTGCTTGAGGCATTTGGCCCGAGGCCCATCCCAGTTGCCAATAACCGTGGTAGCAAAGGAAATCCCGTTTCGCCTTTTTCCGGTTTCACAGTTTTCAGTGGGAACCCCAGAAGCAAAAATGCAAGGGCGGACCATTGACAACGGGGTTCAGGATCCTGAGACCGCCACTGTCGTGGGTTGAGCAATACAATCTGAGTAAAGTGACTGTGTCCTGCTGGATTCACTTCCAAAACCATCCCCTAACAGGGCATCCTTAAAACAACACACCCATTCGATCGGGTTGAGTGGGTGGGGTATGTCACTTCACGCAGACCTTGCAGGTGGTCTTTGCGCTCGACAAGGCCCGCCCTTCCCAGGATAGGACTGTTGGATGGGGTCGCAAGAAGGGATGGGACGACTTTTCTGGGGTGCAATAGAATCAGGAAGGAAACCACAGCTGCCCTCCCAGGAAAGATTAATTGAAACTTTACAGTAGAGGATTCTTTGCAGGAAACTGAGAACATTTCGGGGGGGGGGCTATTACAATGGCTCCCCTGCAGAATGTTTCTCCCCCGGACCGTAAACATACCATATGCCACATACGCAATGATCAAATTGCAATTGTCCCGGGTCGGCAGTCCCCGAATTCACCAAACAATATTGCGCAACATAGGATCAGTGCATCCATGGAGTGTGCGCGCCAGGGCTCCGCGCACGTCCTTTCACCCTCCGCGCGTTCATCGAGGAAGTCATGGGGATAGGCTGGCGGCGGAAGCGACCAAGGCGCCAAAGGGTGGAGGAAGCTGTCGCGGAATTCATGCGAACATGACTGAAACGCTTCAACATGCAACCAGTCAGGAACTGAGCTGCAGTGCATTGGCTCCCACCGCCTCCAAACTCAGAGAAAATGGAATGAATACAAAGGCCGCGGCCAAGATTACTCGGTCCAAGGTCCCAGCGGACATATACAATTGGGTGCTCCCGCATCTCTGCAGAGTGAGTTGGTCCACTGGGTATAGTGTGAAGGGAGTGCCAAAAAACAGGGGTGTGACTGTGGATGCTTGGGAAATCCATTTCGCACCACCGTTCAGAAGGCCTGGCATTGTTGCTTTGATTGCCCTGCAAACTACCGGAACAAACGTTATGGATTCAACCATGGCTGGGCTTAACACCACCTAACGAAACCCTGGTTCCTGATTCAAGCCTGTAACCGCAAGCTTCTGATCTGCCACTCAAGTGGTCCAAACCCAAAAAAAGTGACTAAAGTCCAGAACCGATTTACCACTCAAATGGTCCGCCCCCCAAAAAAAACACAAAAAACAAAGAGACCGGGTGTTGGTGGGGATGTGACTTTGAGCTTTGCAGTGCTACAACTACATCCCAGGAGCACCCCTTCGGAAAAAAAGAGCAAAGTCCAAAACGGAACTTCCGGGAGGCCACGTCGTCGCAAGCCTTGAAACCTGCCGCGGTCGCCCGAGGCTCCTGAAGGGCCCCAGCCACATCCCGAAAGATGCGGATGGTCACAAGCAAAATGAAGTTAACAAAAAAACTACCCTGAAAAGGGAAGCCGCCCCATCATTTTGGGGCCTTAAGACGCATGTTTATGGGGGTCCGCGTACCCAGACACATGCTTCAATAATTGAAAACACGGATGTCGGAACCCATGTATGGCTGGATTGTCCCTTGCTACATCTTACTGCCTCCAATTACCCGGGTTTTGATTGTGTCTCAGTGAGGGTCGGTCAAGAAGGAAATGTCTGGCGTTGCTCCCAGAGTGAAGCGGGCATGACGTATGCACAACAGCAACTGCTTTTATGTGCATTGTGTGAACTAGGTTAGTGGCATCATTGCACTGCCGCAAACTTATACCGCCATTGACCCGCTCCTGGGACAATTGGGGAACCAAGTCAAAGATGACCGACGCAACGGCTTGTCACCTGGCCAACCACCCGACCCGAAACGTGGGGATAGCAAACGCCATACCGTGGTCTCTTGCATTTACATTCAGGGAGTGCAGGCTTTACGGTTTTTAGCTGGGTTTGGGCACTGCGAATCTGCTATTCCAACCCCCGCTCCTCTTCCTCGTACACCTCCTCTTCATCCAGATCCTCCGCCTGCAGCGATCAATCTTCAAATGTTCCCGATGACAGCTGTCTAGGTCCTCCGGTAGAGAGGTTCGAATACGGGTACCCACTTTTTTCCGTAGTCTATTTTAGTAGGGGAACCCTCCCAAACAAAAAGGTGGCAAAAGGGCGGGACCTAGCTAGGTGCACCTGGCTTTGCACGCAGCCGCTGCCTTGGACCTCGGGAAAACAACTCCGACCCCGTCGCTGCCTCCGGCACCGGCTGCTTTCGGCTCCTCGCGCCTGACGGTCACTAGGAACAAAGGAGTCCAACGCGTGTTTTTTGTGGTTGGAACGTACCCCAGGTTGGTTCAACCAATGGGAAAACCACAATTCTGGGGTGTCCTGTCTGGGCAATTTATAAAGACTGTGTGTGTGTGTGTGTCTCTGTCTGTGTATCTGCCGGCGTGTCTGTCCGTGTGTCCGTGTGTCCGTGTGTCCGTATGTCCGTCTGTCCGTCCGTCCGTCGTCCGTCCGTCCGTCTGTCTGTCTGTCTCTGTCTGTCTGTCTGTCTTTGTCTGTCTGTCTCTCTCTGTCTGTCTGTCTCTGTCTGTCTGTCTCTGTCTGTCCATGTGTCCGTGTGTCTGTGTGTCCGTGTATCCGTCTGTCTGTCTGTCCGTCCATCCGTCCGTCCGTCTGTCTGTCTGCCCGTGTGTCTGTCCGTGTGTCCGTATGTCCGTGTGTCTGTCTGTCTGTATGCTCTGTATGCTCTGTCTGTCTGTCTGTCTGTCTGTCTGTCTCTGTCTGTCTCTGTCTGTCTCGGTCTGTCTCTGTCTGTCTCTGTCTGTCTGTCTCTGTCCGTCTGTCTCTGTCTGTCCATGTGTCCGTGTGTCCGTGTGTCCGTGTGTCCGTCTGTCTGTCTGTCCGTCCATCCGTCTTTCCGTCTGTCTGCTTGTCTGTCTGCTTGTCTGTCCGCGTGTCTGTCCGTGTGTCCGTGTGTCTGTCCGTCTGTATGCTCTGTCTGTCTGTCTGTCTGTCTGTCTGTCTGTCTGTCTGTCTGTCTGTCTGTCTGCCTGCCTGCCTGCCTGGCTGTCTGTCTGTCTGTCTGTCTGTCTGTCTGTCTGTCTGTCTGTCTGTCTGTCTGTCTGTCTGTCTGTCTGTCCGTGTGTTCGTGTCTGTGTGTGTGTGTGTGTCCGTGTGTCCGTCCGTCCGTCCGTCCGTCTGTCCGTGCGTCTGTCCGTCCGTCCGTCTGTCTGTCCGTCCGTCTGTCTGTGTGCTCTCTCTCTCTCTCTCTCTCTCTCTCTCTGTGTCTCTGTCTCTGGGTCTGCGTGTGTGAGCGTGTGGGTCTCTCTGGGTGTGTGTGTGTGTGTTCTCTCTCTCTCTCTCTCTCTCGCTCCTGTGTCTGTGTGTTTTTGTGTCAGAGTTTGCGCGTGTTTTTTTGTGTGAGAAATCGTACAGACACAAAAGGTACAAGTTGTCGGGCTCCCCTATTTTCACACCTACCCATGGGCAATCTTGACCGAACAGTGTTGATCATCTTTGGAGGCTTCAAGCCACCCCCAACCCTCAGAAATGGTTCGGAAGGAACCTTCTGATCCAATAATTTCTGACCTAAGGGTTCTGAACATCATTCCGGGGGGTAGAACTGTAGAACTGAATGGGTGTTTTCTCTCTGACCCTGGGGGATAGTTCGGAAGGAACCTTCTGAGTGAAGGGTTACCGAAAGTCTCTGAATATCTTTCTGGGTGGAAAGGGCGATCCTGTGCCACACAAAGTGCCAGTCTTCCCGAAAGTCGGGAACCCCGCGTGCCTGACTTGCCGTCCGCGAGCCCCTTCAGGATCCCAGACCTCTGGTAGTATCTGTGTTTTTCTTTGTGTATCTACATGGATAAATGTGTATATATATATATATATGTACATGATCTATGTATATGTAAATGTATACATATATATATATATACATATGCATATGCTCTGCCCCTCCCCCCTCAGGTGCCCCTGAATTGCTTGATTTGAGCGTGCAGGCTGTAGAGTTTAAATTATTATTATTTGTGCGAGAGACTTAGGCAGAAATACGCAGGCTTGCACTTTGCTGCCAGTGAGGCGTGAATGCATTTCCTCGGGTTTTGGACAGAGTGCAATTCCACTGCCAAATTCCGCTACAACAAGCATTCCAAGCAAACGTATCGACATGTAGGCATGCTAGAAGCCCTGGGGAACTATAGAAACTGGACCAACACACGGGAATTCGACACTCCTTGCGCATAGAAGGCAGGTGGCCAGAAAACAAAATTTGCTGTTGTAGGCAAGGCTATGATTGCTCCCAGATGTCCCCCAGAAATCTGAGATCTTGGTTTCAGGGCGTAACTACCGGCATTTATAAATCTGGGATTATACTTGTGGTATCCTCCCTCCTGTGAGTGCCCATATTGTTGCATGTGCTTGCCAACACATGCAAAACAAGTGGTTGCGATTCAAATTCAGAGGAATGCAGGCATGAGAGGGGGGTACCATATTATATATGTATATATATATATATGGCAGAACTGGAGACTTGAGGACAAGGCCTATGTCCTATATAAACTTGAGCATCATGTTGGCCGTCTTTAGAGCAGGTCCAGCGATGTTTAGAATGGTAAACACGTATGAGCCCCTGTCAACATATATGGGTACCCTATATGGCCACGGAACAAGTTGCTTCTCGCGTGTTGTTCCGAGATATTTGGTGAGCAGGCCCCCCCTGCCCCGCGCCCAATGTCCCTCCCAAATTAATCATAGAGTACTTGTGATGACCGAATCTATGACAGTCCCAAGCAATCCTCTTTGACACGATATCACGGAGCACAGAGAAACATGCGGTTGTGTGTTTTGCAAGGGTGCCCTGTTTGGGGATCCCCCTATCCGCACGCAAACACACACCCATGTGCAGCTGTCAGCTGGAAAGGTGTCTGGCAAATTCTTGCGCCGTATGCTTGTTTCAGGGTCTCCGCATCTTACTGGGTACTGAGCGCCTTGGTTTTTGCTTTGAAGCGGTATACACGACAGCAGAACAAGCATCATGACAAATACAAAGGCAAGAGCTACATCAAACAATGATATGACACATGGCACAGCACGAACAAGATCATGCCTGCCATAAGTGCAGCGACATCAACAGCAGCAGTAGCAGCCGCCTCCAAAAGGTTGATTTCCTGACTGTTATTCTAGAAACCGCGCCCCCAAAGGGATACCCGCAAACCAAACAAACACGACGTCAACAACAGCAACAACAAAAACGGCTGTCCAGGTGTGACAGATTCTGCCAAAACGTTACCCTTGGGCGTGTCTTCTTTGAAAGCAGCCTTTTTGGCTGTGTTTCAACCGGAAACAAATCCGGAAACAAAAAGAGAAAAACAACAAAAACCAACAACAAACTTGTTCTCTTGTTTTTGTTTTTTTTCCCGAGGGGGGGGTATTTTCGGGCCAGGGCGGGGGCCAGGCGGGGGGGAGGGGGGGTGGTTCCCTGATTTTCAGCCACACCCACATCACTTCTGCACATTTGGCCACCCAGCTCGCTGGCGCCATGCTGCTCACACTCGCTGAGCAGCAAGCCTGTGATCAAGCCGCAAGTCGGAAGTCCCAGGTGACACGAGGCTTGTTCCTCGCTTTAGTTACCCAAAGGATCTAGGCAACACTTCCCCCCTTCTTTCCGGAAAACCAAAAGACACCCAGGAAAAACAGCTGGTTTTTGAAAAGAACGATGGTTGAAACGAATGGGGAATGAACCAAAAGAAAGGAGACATGTCTTGTTCAATGTTTTCCGCTGCCCGATGGGTCTCTTCGTTATGCCCCAGTTCCGCGGTAACGTGCTTGAACTGACATTCCTGTGTCTTGGAGGGGTGAGGCAGTACTGCTGGCAGCTCAGCTTACATGGTGAGCTGGCTCCCGCATCCATCAACTCAAAATCGGACCAGGCATCTACTTGTTTGACCTATAGAAAGCAATCCCTTCCCAAGCTATAAGCGGGTCCCCGCTGTTCTTGTGAACAAAGAACCTTGATTTGGCGGCTCATTTGGACAGGTCAAGCAATTTGAGACCAACTGAGAGACCAAAACGTCCACAAAAACTGACCGCGTGAAGTTGGCCGCCAGAACAACATCGCAGCTGTCGTCTGCCTTTCTCTAAATACTACAGTATTCACCCCTTTAACATCAGCTCTCTCAACGAGGGCCACACTTCAAACGGACCTGAAAGGTGCTTTTTAAATCCACCCAAACGCGACACACACATTTTTCGTGGCTGGGCAAAATCCACTCGGGATGGCTGACACCCGAGTCCAATAATGCTGACCCCGGATTAATAAACCCGTCCCACTATTAGTGAGTCCCCAATAAAAGGGGGCGCCCCGCGATCAAAATCAACCAGGGGTTCTACTTGAATCCGGACCAACACATCCGCAGCTTTATGCCTTTCACTTTCCCCAAGGTTCTTACAGTTTCCCCAAGTGATCCAAGGCTAAGATATGCACCCGATTCCCCGTGCCTTAGGCCCGGGCCCAAGGTCTGCGTGTCTGGCTCCAGCTGCTCTACTAGCATGTCGTCCATGAGGAGCAGCCTGACTTGGCTGTGGGTAGTTAGGGAAACCCCAAAATGGCACCCTGGTAAGTGGCAAACATGGACCAAAATCTGTGGTCCCCTGGTGGTTAATTGTGACCCATACCCACTTCTTAAAGGACTTCTTACACAGGGATCCTTACATTATACACCTGAACATTGCCTTGTAAATGGAGGCTTCCCGGTTTATTTTGGTGGAAAGAGCTGTGTTTCAATTGGGCAAAATGTATCTTAGGAGCCCTGTTAAAGGGGCGATCGGGTACGTCAGATAAATGGTTAGTAATGGTTACACCCCACTGAACGGAGACTTATAACTATGGCTTGTGTGGCTTATAACTTATAACCCGGCTTACTAACCACTTACTCAGTACCCTGCCCCCTCAAGTTCCAAGTCTTCTTGTGCAACCTCTCGAATTGGTTTGTTTGTGACATCAGTAGCTTGGAGCTTTGACTGACATTTTAGCTTTTACAAATGCAAGAACACCTTCATCTAATGTTCATGGCACATGTTGGCAAACTCCCTTTTTGGATGGAGGGCGCCGACAGGAGCAACATGGTGAGCATCCGCAAAGGGTCTCTGTTCATAGGGACTTACTCCTTGGCTTTTTTCCGTACTGGTCATGGCCAATAATTGAATGCAAACAGCATCTAAGCATCTAAGACGGTCCTTGTTCCTGGCTGCAAACAAGGCACCCCGAAAAATCAAATAGCCAGCAACTAGGCTCCCATGGAGTGGAGAGAAGAGGACTTCCCCTGAAAAGAGGCTAACCTTAACGGAGAAGTCAACTAATAAGGAAGCGAGAGTGGATCCGCGTGCACTGGACAAGTGTGTGCCTCTCATTCAAGGAAACCCCCTGTGCCCTCCATACTGCCTAGCCAAGATTCCAATCCGAAACACATAATGGAGAAGCCACAGGCTGCACAGTGACTAACGAACAAATGAGGGGGGTGATGTTCCTATTTCACCCAAAATAACACAAATGCATGTTCGGGCATGGTCTATCCAAATGTAGCCGTTCTTGCACCCCTGCAAAGACTGGAAACCTTCAGCATCCCCCTTGAATGCGGTCACTGTGGTCTTAAACGGGTGCCAACAGGAACCTGCCACGACCCCAGTAAGGGTACTCTCCAAACCCGCCAAGGACGTACCCTTTTGAGTGGAAACTAAACTGCAATGACGACCGAGGTCTGGGGAAAAACTGAAACTGTACGAGATCTGAGAGATCGACGCATGTTTGTCTCAAAATTGCCCAAATGTGAGTCTCCTTTCTGCCTCCCCAAGGGTATTGACCCTTGAAAGAAGGACCCCAGAATTCAAAAGAATGCGTATGGCTGAAACCTCCGGTGGCCATGGAGTTGGCGGAATCAAGAAGACCATGAACATAGGTGCAAATGGTAAGTAGCTACCTGCCCCCTCGTTACATCTGCCACGGCAAGTGTACCGAAGAATGGCTGGCTCCAGCTGCTTTGGTCCCACGCGCAACGTTTCACGAAGCTTGAAAAACATATGGTCATATTCCTCTACACACCTGTACACCCCGGTCCTTTCCTCAGGAATTGGGGCAGTGATTGGCCCCTATTGTGCGTTTGGCAAGCAGTATGCAATTATGTTGTCTCCACATGGAAGTTCCTGCTTGCACCAGAGGAACAGCATGTGCGCATTTGTCTGAACTCATTTAGGGTCACCCAAACCCTAGACTTCCAAAGGACATTCAATAAATGGCCGAGGTGGTAAAGTACATTTTCTGGGAAAAGGCAAACTTTTGCTTCAATTAGGTCGGATCATGATTTTCACGAAAATCCTATTTAAAGGTAGCTGGAAGGGGCTGCCTTCTGCAGAAATTTGCCAACGTCAGCCATGGGGCAGGGCTCGGGAACCCTTTACTTGATATATGCATGTACTGGTCCAGCATACATCCATCAATCCATGCATGCATATTTGGCGCAAAAGTCTTTCATTGCCCCATTGCCAAGCCAAAAAAGAGCAACAAAGGCCTGAGAAGACACGTGCCGCGAATTGACACCAAAATGGTGCATATACGGGGTGTGCAGAAACTGTCTTTTCTACGGCAATAAATGGCCGTTCTACGGCAGAAAATGTACTTTCTACGGCAGAAAATGTACTTGCTACGGGGTTGTCTACGGTTTGTCTACGGTCCCTCTCTGTCGCAAGCAACGAGCTCAACAAATTTCGGTTTTGCGACTCGACCTGATGTGATTACCCTGACTTTGCAACGTGGTTCCCCTTCGGCGGAATCAAGTACCCCTGACTTACACCTTACTTTTCGTAGCAGTTTTTTGCTTGCCTATGGTTTTCCGACTGTTTTGCCAGTGGTATGTCTATGGTATGTCAATGGTATGTCTATGGTATGTCTATGGTTTGTCTATGGTGTCAATTTGCCCTGATCAGAGCACTCGAATAAATTGCCCCGCCATAGTAGATGCAAAAAATGTCCCTTCTCGAGCACAAAATGTCCGTTGTCCCAAGGACATTTATTTAATGGCCGAGGAAGTTCTGGGCAAACAATCTCTGAGGAACCGGGCCCAATCTGCCACTTCTTCTTGGAGACGCAGGCTTGGATGATGGCCGCGTAGGTTTCCTCGAGCCACTGCGCAGCTTGTCACCCAGTTCTTTCCAGAGACCAAAACCTGAGAGAAGGGACCCACATATTTCTCGGCAAACAAGCTACATGCCCGGACGCATGTCTGAGTCTTGGACTCGAAACACAGGGAGAATGAGTGAACATTAACAATCAGAATGTTGACCCCCGATTCCCTCTAGTTCAGCACCCACTTGCCCCGCCCCTCGCAAAAAAAACTAGCAGGAAAGAGACAATTCATCATTACAAAAGTCAAGGTTTGACAAGTACAAAGGGTGCCCCCCCGATTGAATAATCCCTCCAACCCTGGAACCCTTTTGCTTCGCTATTGCGGTCCTACTGGCCAGCAAAGGAGATGACCGGAGAGGATCAGAGAGGAGTAGGGAAGACCCGAGAGGACCGGAGATGACAACATGTGATTTTTTGTGGTCGACAGTTTTGGGGCACTCAAACAGGACCTGCCAAGCACAGCCGACAGAGTGATGATTGCTAGTAAAGGCCGATTCAACGGTGACACCCTAGCAAAAAGAATGACCTAGTTCGGGAGGGCTGTTGCCAGGCCCAAACACGAAACAAACTTATGATTCTCACTCCCCGCGAAGAGTCAGCAGTGCAGCAGGATTAAAAGACGGAATCCACGCTTAAACTGATGTTTGACAGTAGCACGCAAACCTGGTTCTTCCCTCCTGTTCAAAAATGAATTGGCCTTTGGGCATTTCCAGCAGCTTAGGCACGGGCCACATCTGGGGCAGCCTCTCGCGCCTGCACTCGCATGTGTTGCGCATGGGCGTCTCTCTTCGAGTGTTTTTTGCGCTTGGAACTACCCGTCCGCTAACATGGATCCCACCAGAGGTTGCTCCAAGTTAGCGGGCAGGAGGGTAGATGGAATCAACATTCAACAGCGACACACGCAGTACGGGAAGTTAAAGGGACAATTCCAACCTATTACAAAACATGGCCCTGCAACCAACCGGAAGTGTTTGTTGGTTTCCTAAGGGGAGCCTTTTTGTTCCTAAGTTCGGCCGGCGCTAAAATGAAAGAATTTTACACCAGTTGCTAGCAAGATGCACAAGTCTCACCAGCACCGTCAGCACCCTCAGCACGTCTCAACACCCGGCATCAGAAACGCCTGGGTTTAAGACTGAGTTTAGGGTTGGTTCTAGGATTGTTTGGAGCGGGCTTGGGGTTTTCGGTTGCCTTGGTTTGTGAGGTGGGTTTATTGTGGGTTTGGAATTGAATTACGACGGGTTTGGTGCTGGTTGAGGTTGGTTTTAAGCTAGGTTCAGGCTGGTTTTAGCGCTGGCCTAGTGCGAGAGCTTGGTAGGGTTGATTTTGGTGGCATTGTTTTTCTTGTGGGTTTAGGGATTGTTGAGCGCAGTTGGTACAGGAGGGTTGGTTAGGGTTGTTTTTTCTTGTGCTTTTGCTTGGTAATGTTTTGACGGGCTGGTTTAGGCTTGGGTTGGTTTAGCGTTGGTTTAGGGACGGGTTGTTAGGGTTGGCTTGGTTTACGGCGGGATAAGCATCGGGTCGCGTAGGGCGTTTAGGGTTGGTTTCGGTGTGAGTTTGAATATAGTTGAAGTAGTGATTGGGTTTAATGAGGGTACATTTGGGTGTGGGTCAATATTCTGGTGTGGAACGTTCCGCGGTGACGCGGACGTCTGGAACGAGTCAGTTACGTAAGGTTGGTTGTTCCGGACCTCTGGGAAGACATGTGTGGAGTCCTCAAGCACAGTTCATTTAGTGTAAGATGGAGAGATGGATGGATGAATTGATGGATGGGTAGATGGATGGATGAAGCGACAAGGGGCGCGCGGCCTTACCATACGGCACCTCCTTGAAGGCTTCTTGGGCAGCGTAAGAAGTGCAGCTACTTACATGGGGCATGTGTGCGCATGTGGGCTTGGTGGCAAATTGCTCCGCTGCGTCTGGAACACGTCTGGAACGGGTCTGGAACGGGGTCTGGAACGGTTACGCGAGTGGCTTGCACTTGGGAATGCTAGCAAGCAGCATGTAAACATGGTCGTTTCAACCATGTGACGACTGGGAGCGGTATCGAACCGTTACCGTATTGCATCGAACAAATAGCGGCGGGGTTGACCCTAAACACATCTGTCAACAGAACCGCTGCCCAATTCCATCCAAGTCACAATGATTACAAGCCACGCAGCCCTAACCACCAAAGCTCAACAAGCAAATCCCATCGTTAGCACCTCAAGCTTCTCTGAAACACCAGCTTTAACGCGTAGTATTGGGGGGGGTCAATAACCTGCCAAATCACCTGACCGTCTGAATCAATACTCTAAACTAGACATATACAAAAACAAGGTCTGGAACGGAAGGTCTGGAACATGTTTCTAGGCAAGGTCTGGAACGGAGGTCTGGAACGGAGGTCTGGATCGCATGTGGGTTCCGGACCCTGTTCAGGACCTTATAAATTGACTCGCAGCCATTTAGGCTGGATTAGGGACGCTTCAGTTGTTTACGGGTGGGTCTGCTTAAACTTTGTTTAGGGTTGACTCAGGGTGGTTTAGAAGCTGGTTTCGGGTGGGTTCCGTCTAATGTCCATGGTGCTGAGGGCACTCGATGCACTTTGAGAAGTTCAGCCCATATCCATATCCGACAACCGTTGTGGCTTAAGCTGGGCCTAGCGCGGGCTTAGGGTCTGCCTAAGGTTGGAAAAGGGTGTGATTAGCGTTTGTTTTTAGCGCTCAGGCTTTGGCTGTTCAAGGAGTCTTTCGCGCTGGTTTAACTCGTTTAACTAAATGTGGGCTTTGCGTTGGTTTAAGATTGGTGGGGGAAGCCAAAGCTACAAACGCGCCAGAAGGGAAAAAGCCGCCGGAGCCAAAAAGCCCTCGTCGGCCGATCAGGTCAATTCAGTGGAAGTCGCCCACGTGCACACAGCCGCCTGGCCGAGCATGTCTTTCTCGGGGCGCGGCTTGATCACAATTTGCTGCGCCGCTGCTTTGCTCAATCTTGATGCGCTTCTAACATGGCAGCGGAACGCCTCTAACATACAGATATGGCCTGGCCACAAAATGAGGAGTCTATAGGAGAGCAAAATACCACCAATCGAATCACTACGACACAGGGAGCGTCAAAACCTGACAAACAAGCGAATTGACTTCGGAATCAAACGCAGGCGACTTTTTTGACTAAAAGTCAAGTTGACCTGAGCGCTGGCGGTCACTGCCTTGGCTGCGTCAGCACATCGGTGCCTTTGGCAGAAGGGGGAAACTTGGACGCGCAGTGTCCAAAAAGAGCCCTTTGCCTCCCCGAGAAAGAAGGCGTGAAAAGTAGACACATGTAAGCCTGGAAGCAAACCTGGATGACCATCTTGCAAACGTCGCAGCTTCACCTCCCCTGGATTCATCACGACGCTGATAGCTTGCCGCCGCCGCCCAACAAGCGCAAGGTAGAAGCCTTGTGGCAATCTGCTGGCAAGGCTAGCTGATGCATCTCGTCACCAACGTACACCTGGAGCTCGCCCGCCACTTCCTCACTTGATGCGGTACGCGTGCATGAGCTGGGCATCGCAGGAAAAGAAAGAACAGGAAAGAACTAAACGGGAAAATGTTACTAAGCACGGACACATGACCCTCACGGCGCAGATGTCCCAGTTGACGACAAGGAGCCGAATATCGCTCATTCTGGCCGTCGTCCACAGCAAAAGCTTAGATGCCAAAAGTGCTTGTTTGCCCTGGGCTAATTCGAGTCAGATCTTTTTGAAGGGAGGCGTTTCTTTCTCGCTTTTTTCTTGTGAGGCTGGCCAGTTTGTGCTCCAACTTCTGCACATCTTCTTCAAAGGCCGCCATACGCCCCAACATTCCCGGCAATGTTGGGGGCGGGGGTCGGACCAAAAAGCCCCCATCCGCTCGATCCGCGTCTTCGACGAAAATGTCTGCGCGGCGTCGTGGCTTTGCCATTGACTGGGCTGCTTTGAGGGCCATTGACTTGGCATTGTCGCGACGCTTGGAGTAGACGGGCCATTTCGGTCAGGTCTGGCCTGATGAAGCAGGGCATGAATGAATTCATCGTCCACTTCACCGTGTCCAGCCATCTGGAAGCGCTGGCAGGATACAGACGACGGCGACCCTTCTACAGTAAAAATGCAAGTGCAAGCGCGTGCCCGGGCGTCAGGGTGAATATATATATATATATATATACATGACGGCGCAAAGCAATTGGCAATTATAATTTAGTAGACACCTCATGTCAATTTTCCCACTAAAGGGAACTGCCTTTGATTAATCTGGCGGGTTATCATTCAACATCTTCACCCTTGACCCCACCCATCTACAAGTACTCCCAGGCTACGTCAGCCGCATCAGACTCAGACCCCCCCCCCCTCAGCACACAGATGTCGGCCAGAGAGCCGCAAGCTTGGGCAAGACAAAAGTCCATGCGGTCCGAGAGCAAGGAATCTTTGGTCTCCTGGCACAGCAGGACTACAATAAGAACAAGAGTTCACTGTGTACATGTAGTGTAGCAAGCGCTCACTGTGCGCGTGCCGCGCAAAGGCCTCGTCGGGCGATGGTTGGGAGGACTGAGCTTGAGCCTGACAAGCATCCCAAGTAGGGTGAACAACCTTGCAAAATGCAGCGTCTTAGCCAATCTCCTATTCTCAGGGTTGGCAGACCCCCTGACGACTAATGGAACCTGTCCGGCAATGCACGCATGACATGCGGCACAAATAACCCAGGTCCAAAACAAATGTTTCGAACCATTGAAAGTGCTTTGGAGCAGCACGCCCAATCTCAAAAGAAACAGCCCCTTATCAGCCCCAAGGAATTCCTTTTGACGAGCGCTCGCCGCTACCTTTCAACGCCTTGGAGTACATTGGCTTTTCAAGTGAGTTCCACATCGCCTTCGACGCTTTGACCCAGACCACCCTGTGTAATCTCGTCAACCCGTTGCTTAAGTACTTTTTTTAGAAACTCCATCATTCCCCCAACCCTGCCCAGTGCATGCACTAAATTCTCCCAAACCTTCCTAGCCAGTTCATGCACTGGGGCGCTTGGGTCTCCCCTGGCCTTTCCACCACAGCAAGTCCAGTTCAAAGCTGCTCAATCCTGTAGTCATGAGCTTGTCTGCCAGATAAGGCCACGCGTGCCCATCCTTTTCTTCCCTGTGCAAACCCCCCAGCGCTTTGCATCCTGCATCCCTCCCACTTTAGACCCCCTCACTTCGTTACATCCCCTTATGTCCACATTGCTTTCTCTTGCGCGTCATGGACTAGAGGGATTTATATGTTCTCCAGTTCATGGGTTTAGTGTGTGCACTGGGGGCTTTGTGTGTCATAGGGGGGTGGCGGCTGCTTAAGGGTGAGTTTATGGTTGGGTAAGGGTTGATACACGGTTTGCTTACGGTTTGTTTGGAGTTGATGTTTGGTGGTTTAGGGATTGTTTAGTTGGCTTAGGCTTAGTTTAGGGCTGGTTAGGGTGAGCTTAGAGTTGGTTTAGGGATGGTTTAGGTCTGCCTTAGGGTCTCGTTTAGGTGGATTCATGGGGTGGGAGTACGGTTTGCTTAGGGTGGGTTTAGCGCTGGTCTACGGTGGGGTAAGGGGTTGGTACACGGATTGCTGACGGTTTGTTTTGAGTTGATGCTAGTTTAGGGCTGGTTAGGGTTGTTTAGAATTGGTTTAGGGATGGTTTAGTGGTGGCTTACGGTGGGCTTAGGGTCGGGTCTAGGTGGGCTTCCGGTGAGATTCCGGGTGAATAGGGGTAGGCTTAGCGCTGGTTGTTGGGTAAGGGTTGGTACACCGTTTGCTTGCGGATTGTTTGGAGTTGATGTTTGGTGGTTCAGGGATTGCTTAGTGTCAGCTTACGGTCTATTTAGGGTTGGTTTAGGCTTCGGGTTGGTTTAGGGTGAGTGTAAAGTTGGTATGGGGTTTGTTTAGTCTAGGGATTGTTTAGTGTCGGTTTGCGTTATGTTTAGAGAGTTGAGCTGATTTAGGTTGGGGTTTAGAATTGGTTTCAGGATGATTTGGTTGTTTGGGGTTGGTTTAAGCTGGGCTTGGGGTTGCAGAGGGCATAGGGTTTGTTTAGGGTTGGTTTGGGTGTGGGGTTTATGGTGGTTTTAGTTGTAGTTTAGGATTAGGGTTGATTCTCCCAGCTGACTTGATGGCTATCCCAGCCACCCCAAACCCGGTTCTCTAATGGAGGACCCCAACTCAGTCTCTGAGTATCTTCCTTTGGCCGCGTTTTTTTCCGCAGGTTTTGGGGCTGTTCTACATGGGGCATATTCCATTTTCGAGCGGGTGGGAATAATACATGTATTCTCGATACCTCAAAGTTTTCCGGGGAAGTTTGCGAAATCTATTGACCTTTGGGTCTACTCACATGGTTGAGGCTTATATCTCCTATGAAACCAGGTAGAAACTGAAACACCAGCAAATTCAGTGGATGAACAAACTCCATTTCGCACCAGTTAGTGAGTGGCTTATCCCACTATAGGCTTTCATGTATCCCAAGTAAACCAGGTATTACCGGGGAATCTTCATTCCAGGGTTCCTGCAAGGTGCGAAATTGACTTCAAAACCACGCACCGTATGGCCCTTTTGGACTTGGCTTTGGACTCTCTTTTGCTCACCTTCATGTCCTCCAGCAAGGCTACAGCCACCTTCCATTTGCCGCTGCGCTCCTGGGAAGGGATGTTTGGAGCAACCTGTCAAGAGACTTGGTGTTTTTGTGACCAACTTGGTTGCTGTAACGAGCCATGGTCAAAACTATTTGCATGGCCGGTTGGGTCATGGTTCGCTTCATGGGAATCGCTGAAATGGTTACTCAGGATCCTTACCAGGATCCTTGCCGTCTGCAAAAAGTTGATCACGTGTTGTGGGTCCCATGCGGGAAATCCGAGCTGCTTCAACCAAAAAGTTCAAGTCCAACGATCCAAGCATACAGCCAAAATGGTGGTCCCAAAAAAGCAACTGCAGAAAAGTCAGGCACTGAGACACACATGGTGAGCCTGTACATGAAACCTGGCACGGGCCCTCAAAACTTAGTCCTTGGTTCGTCTTGCGCAAGAGACGAACTATGCGGAGCAGGAAACCAAAGGGCACGGTCCACTAAGGGAAGCGCTGTGACATGATATCTGTGGCCCCCGTTCCCCTGATACAACGTTGAACTTGCAAGATATTGGGCCTCGGAAGACGGGTTACGCGCTTGGCTTCAACATTGTAAGTGGGGGAGAGGGGTCCGCACGCAGCGGGCGATGCCACAGAAATGGTGTCAACATGTGCCTTGGTGGCACTTGCAATATTTAGGGCTTCCACTGTACCTGGATTGAGACTCAGACTATGGGCATTGCAAGAGACGTATGAGGTGCTTTCTCAAAATAAAGGGCTTACACAAGAGCGTGGATTTGTTGGAATCCCCGCAATCTCACAAAAAACGGAAAGGGTCCCCTGTTTGAGACACACATATACTGACAAGCCTCCCAGCAATTAAACCGGTTCAAAGGGGCGACTCAAATTTGTAGCCAACCTAAATAGGCAAACAGCTTCGGCAAGCTTTCTGCAAGAAGTCTCGATGCAACCAAAAAACACTCGAAAGTTCCCTGCCACTAGAACACATCCAGCTGAAACTGCTCAAGTAGATGGCCATGTCCCCCATTCAGAATTCAGTGTCCGCACTGATCGCTACCGGCCCGAAGACAACTGTCTCATCCAAACATAACGAAGCAGGCGAGTTTTGAACTGATTGTGTTCCTTGAAAGAACACCATCCCCAAACATCAAAGACGCTCTGAATAGTAACTATAGACAATTTATTGTTCAGAGTCAGGACTGAAAGCTTATGTTGTTTGTTGTTTGTTCAGCACTAAACTGCTGCCCCAATGTGCAACACAAGTTCGGCATCTGGGTTTCCCACTGCTGCGCTGATCGCGGAGTTGTAGAAGATGGTATCCGGCCTGGGCGACTCTCGAGGACATGCTCTCAAGGTCCGCCAGAAATCGCAAGCCCTGAGTACTCCCCACAGCAACCACAAGGCCCCTGTGTTGTTCTTTCGAGCGGGGGGGGTTGTAATCAGAAAGGTCGACATTTCCAGGGTCAAGCTGTGCAAAGGGCAACAAGTGAAAGGAGACTCCTGTCCATACTGTGGATTGTCAGATTTCATGATCATGTGGTACAGGGTGCAAAGGGATATGTATTAAAACAGGCCCCGCAAAATGGTGTTTATAACAAAAAAGTAAAACAAGTAATAAGTTGGAATGACCCTTATAACCCATCCCCTATGGTTTCCTATAAAGGAATTTTCTGCCGGTTCATCCCCAACACCCTGAGTCGCTCCCTACCGAGCGCCAGAAAAGGCTACCAGATATGTAGACGGGACACCGGAGGGTGAACATAGCATGGCTACCAAGCACATAATTTCCAATACATGAACTGATCCCTCGCTCCCTCACTGAAAAGGGAACCACCCTTGAGAACAAAAAACCTGCGTCTCAAGACAGTGGGACCCACACAAAAAAGGGGTTGTCCCTTTGTTTCCCTTGACACCAACCCCAAAAAACGAAAACACATTCCCCCCAAATTAGGGAGTCCCCTTTGTTTGGGAGCCACCGAGATCTGACACTCCGCACGGGAACGCCAAGCTCGGCGCTGGAGGTCTGTTGCCAGCAGCCCCTTAGGAAAAACAGCGCCGATGGCTATTTCAGGCGACGCGTTTAATTCACGGCTTCGCCAAGCAAGCAATGCAGGTGTTGCTCAATGTGGCATGCCAAACGCGGCGGCGATGAATTAGTCCCTGGGGGCAAACCACATTTTGCGCGCGCGCGAACTGCGCGTGTTGTAAAGTGCCCTGTGTACCTTTGGGCTCAAAGGATAGAGGGAAAGCCACCATTCTTGGGTCGCCTTCTTGGACACAAACCCAGTTCAGTACAGCGACCAAGCGCCCACAACCGTTTCTGCGAATGGCTTCCTGTCCTAACGGTCCTAATGCATCCCTGGGGCATCTTGCGCAACAAACAACATGTACCCCGCCCCGCAACATGTGCGCACTTGTGTGCGGCACAAGGGCAGCATGCAGCACTTTCTTCCGATAGTGAACTAAAGTTTAGCGTACATCGGTTGTTGATGTGGCAGACAACCATGCCCGCACAATGCTCCCTGCTTGAGGAGTGATGCATACGTGAAAATAAAACTTGTGTAAGGCGGGCATGAACGACCCACTTCAGCTGTTCGTGGTAACCACGTGCTTGATTGACCTTCGATTAGCTACAATGATCTTGTGCAAGCTAGCAACTTTGCTGCTCAATATCTAGCAGCGCAACTCTGGAAGTCTTGAGCGGCATCTGTGCGCTGTCTCGGAGACTCATGCGGTTTTCAGAGCACTCTTCGGGTGAAGAATGCAGCTTTGCAAGTGAATGAGAAGGTGGGGGGCATCTTCCTGCGAGCATTTCAACAAGGCAGCTGCAATGTGATTAGGTCCTCCAGTAGAGAGGCCAGAACAAGGGTACCCACTTTTTTCTGTAGTCTATTTCAGTAGGGGAGTCCTCCCCCAAAAAAAGAAACGGTAAAAGGACACTATTGGGGGACCTAGGTGAATGAATCTGAGAATAGCAGTGGTGGGAAGGCGCTGAGACTTGAAAGGGCACCACCCCCCTTCCCCATGTTGTGCGGGACCACCACCACCCCCCCCCCCCAGAGAACCAACATGTTGCCCAATTTGACTGCCTTGTGTCCATTCATTTATGTTCCCAGCAGGCAACTGTACTGGTGTGATTCAACCGGTTCGAAGGGAGGAGTGCATGTTGGCCAAGTGAACATGATCCGTTCATGGTCTCGCACACAAGGATCTGAAGAAATCCCTGAGAATTCACAAGCAGAAATGAAGAATGCAAAGGCATGAGCCAGGCCTGCCAGAGCTCGCTCAAACTTGCCGGATATGCATTTGTTGCTTCAATGTTCCAAAAACCTGGAATAAGTAAGCCCCCTCTCTGGTTTCCCTATGGACAGAGTGTGGCAAAACCATTTCCCCCGTCAGAAAAGCCGAACTTTGGCTCCCAGAAAATCTATGGCCATCTCTTGCCCGGGTTTTCTCCGAAAACCGCGCGCCTGAAGCAAGGCCAAAGCGTGGGGCCACTTCTTGGCCATGGACATGGCAAAGGCCGCAGAGCCGAAGCCTATCACCTGAGACAGCGCTGGGACCAGCGGAAGAGGGTTCCTCGGATTTTGGTCCATCCACGTTATTGGCTGGGTGTGTGTGTTTTTCCCTTGTTTCTGAACCCCGGTATTTTCCTGGTCGGTTGAAAAGGAAACTCAAAGGGAAGTTGAGAGTGTTTTTTTTTTTTTTTTTTTTTTTTTTTTTTTCTGAGGCCCGGACATTGTCTGGTTGGTTGAAAGGGAAACCAAACGGGAGATCACATGTGGGGACCCAACCACTTCAGGGTACCATCCACTTGTTGAGTTGTGGACCTCCCAAAAAAGACCCGCTTCCTGATTCCCCTTTAGAAACGACTGGCAGCACAATGAACCAAATCCTCAGTGTCCTTTCAGTTGGACTCCCAAAAAACGGACTTTGAGCAGCTGGCTGTGGGTCAAACATAGGTAACCAAAAATGGCTTGCCCTGGCAAATGGAAACATGGACTAAAACCTGCGGTCCAATTCCTGTTAGTGAAATTTTGACCCATACCCAGCTGACCAACTTCCACCAAACAAAAACAGCCAATGAGTGACTCTGCTGAGCAGCCAATCAAAACCCGACAAAGTGGCCGTGCCATTTTTGGAGGCTGCCCGTTTTGATGCGTTTCAGAAGGGGCGTCCAGGCAACCCCCCCACTTGGCTGCACACCAAAACTGTTCAGAAGCCCAGTGGCCATTAGGAAAAGCAACGCCAAATCTCCTTTTGGCAGCTGATGCTGGTTTTGGCAGCCGATTTGGAGGAAAACCAACACATCGCAAAAAACAGGGCACCGGGTCATGGCAGCCGCACCATCCGAGACGATGCCGAGACGCGTTCTTCGGCTCCATCGACTCCAGAGCCCCCAGCCTCGGTTCAGCCGGAGAACCAAAAAAAGACACGGTGGGTCCCGATCTCATTGACTTTGCTTTGAACATCACCACGGAATTTCACCTTAAACGGGCCCAAAAGGTGATGTGTAAAGCCAGAAAGCGGCAAGCAGCCATGTTTTCGAGCTGTTGAAGGGTGGTTCCCGTTGTAGTACCCCTCCTTTTTGCTAGCCAAACCCATGCGGATTGATAAAACAAAATGAATACTGAAACAATATGAGTACTGGTTGATAAACCACCTGTCTGGCGTGCATCCGAACGGATTTCGTCCATCAGGTGTCTCAACATTGATGAGACACCCAAGAACCAGGAACCAGGAAGGGTCCGAGTCCGTGGAAGCGACACCCGGCAAACCAGCCAGGCCCATTCTCTGTTTGCCCAACGACCCCTCCAGGCAGAGCCAAAATGTGGGGGCGGACTTGCCGTGATTCATTGCGGGGTGCTCCCCAAGAGAAGGGAGGCAGCGAGCGAATGGATTCAAAGCTGGATGTCTAACAAATGTTCCTCTAGGACCCGAACCAGCTAGACAAGGTCAGTTCACGCAAATGAAAAAACGTGTCCCTAGCCCCAGGAAATTCATGAGGACCCTTCGTGCCACACGCCCCACTTACTCAACCAGGGCTCCGCATCCTGGGGATGGAAACCTTGACATCTCACATGCAATGAGCAAAAACAGCTCCTGCGAAGACACCAAGCACAGGCGAGCAGGTTGCCCAATGTCCGACCCAGTTGCTCAGTGAGCCGTTCGGCGGAAAAAAGAAATGGGGTTGATTGCCTGGGTCCTCCAGTAGAGAGGTTAGAATGAGGGTACCCTTTTTCTGTAGTCTATTCTAGTAGGGGAACCCTCCCCCCAAAAAGGGTAAAAGGGCAAAAGGGCACTACTGGGGGACGTACGTGCAGAGTCCACCAGACAGAAAAGCATCACGATGCGATTGAACGACTAAAGGGAAAGCACTTGGACTGATGCAACCGATGTCAAATGCGCGACGAAGAGCGCAGTCGGGCGTTCCCGAGTTGGGATGGTGACACGTAGGGAACCAAAATGAGCTTCATCTTGCAACAACCAGGTGTGATTTGTGTACTTGACCTGAACATTGCTATTGGCCTGATCCACCACCCTTTGAAGCCCATGCCCAACTTGAAGAAGGAACGTATGTCCTAAACGTGATTCACAGCAAAGTTGACCAATTGCTTTTTGGTTGTACCCTTGTCACTTTGGCTCAAAAGGAAGCCAACTGGAAAAACCAACACTTCGGGCCGCCTATTTTGGCTCCCCAATAGGACTTGGCCGCTTTTGGCCGAGGGGCGCTTTCTGCCACTTCTTGCTCTTCCCCAAAGCTGTGATCAGTGCGCTGAAGCCCTTCTCGGAGACCAGCGACGCCTCGAGCTGGAAGGCGGAGGCGGACATTTTCAGGGTGCCCCTTTTTGATGCGGGTTTAAACCCAGACGCTCCTGGGGCTTGCAATGAAACACCCCACCCCAAGTGTTGGGGTCTCAAAACCTGGATGTTTGAGGGCCCAAAGTCAATCGGGAGCGTCTGGGAAAGAAGCAAGAAGGGAAACCGCAAGTTTGGGAGGTTCCCTAAAACAACACACACACAAACGGCTATGACTTGTTTTGAAGGGTGTGTAGCAGGAGATGCGGCACAAATCTTGTCGCGCAGGTGCGCAACGGGAGTCCTTGTTACGCAGGTGTGTAACGGGAAACAGGGCTTGGCAAGTACTAGAGGCAATGTTGCCCAGAACAACAAAGTGACGCAGCGCCAGCCCGAAAATTCAGTACAACGCAAAGCGCACCTCCGCAGCTCCAGCTTGAAATTTGCAACTGTTCAACGCAAAGCGGCGGCAAAACTTCTGGCTGGGGCTGCAACAAGGCATGCAACGGCCATGTATCGAAGTACAGCACTGAAAGAGGATTATTTTTTCCAGCCCTCCCTGCTTTTTGTTCCAGCTTTGTTCTGAATGCCAAGCTCTCTGCAAATTGACTCTTCAGCAACCAGCCAGATGGCTTTGTTATTGTGAGGTAGGGTATGCAACGCGGGGTGTGTAACGAGTCAGCGGGTCTTGTTACATAGGCATGTGACGGGGAATGTAACGAACGTCCGTCGCGGCTCTGTTACAGACCGCTCCAAAAAGAGACTGCCATATGGCCATGGGTCAAAATCTCATACCTGCAGTGAACATCCCAATCCCCACTAAGATCGACTAAAATGGGTGGTGAACTACCCCAAACTGGTACCATTGGTTTTGACCCACAGCCATATGGGAGTGAAACGTAAATACAGGTTCAACTCAAAGTGGAAGCCTTCATGATAGTGGTGCATTTCTTGTTTCGCTCTAAACCACAAAAAGGCTATCCTCAAAGCTGGCAGACCCATATGGGACCCGTTGGTGCACATCATTTGGACGGGCCCACCAATCACTTTGCCACATCTGTGATACAAAAGTGGTTGATGCTCATTGAGGGAAAATCCTTGAAGAGATCACAACACTTTTCCGCTCCAACCGTGCACCGCAGATTCGGAAAGGCCACACCCACGGCTGGGTCAAAACGCCAATCCTGGCTTCCAGGGGACCACACAAATGGCAAATGCAGATGCAGGGGGTCATCAATTTTGCCACCATATCCCATTTCGACACAAACCCCTCTGGATTGAGCACCAGCCAAGGGTGACCAGGAGACAACTTGAGAGTGAGCAAAAGTGACAGCTGCCTCCTTCATCTCCTCAAAGAGACGCACAGCGGCCTGCCACTTGCCACCTGCACCAAAGGACGCGTCAGCTGAGTACGCCGGTCTGAGAAATGTGTAATTCCGCTTCAATGATACAGGTGGATTGGTCAATCGTCCATTTGAAAGGGACATGGGGGACTCACTAAATGTTCAACAAACATCAGGGGACTCACCAAATGTCCCGTGTCCTTTTGGGGGAACAAGGAATATGATGTTTCCCCGCCGAAAGGGAAAATTACCCCCTGTCTGCAAAGCTCTGCGAATTGGGGCTGTACCGCTCCAAAACGCCAGAGCTGGCGCGTCTGATTTGCTCTTGTAGGCTATTGACGTCGGGAAAAACCGAGTTGGCACCACTAAACTCAAATGGGGGTCTCGGAACCTTCCTAGAAGGGGTCCTTAGGGCTGTTCTGCGAATGGTGAAACCGGGGGCCTTACTATAGTCGTAGCCCTTACCTTCACGCTCCCCCTATGGAAGTTCTTCACGAAATACGAACATGATCCCAAGAGGTGACTCATGGATTGTGAGGGTGTGTGCATGTGCGTGGGTCGGTCACATCTGGTCCTGCCCAAATCCCCGAGATTATCCGAGATCGTGCATTTTTCGCTTCAAGGATGGCACACACGTCTCCCTGCGTTTCTGCATGATTTCGGGTGGCAAAGTGATAGGAACCAACAGAAACAGCTTCGTACAGAGCTCCCATGCTCCCATGGGAAAGGGACCCCCCCAAGGACATTCAACGCGTGACCTCAGAGCAGATCCAAAGCAAAAGATCCAACCTAGAGTCTCAATGACCCTTAAAAAATGGGTCCATGACCCTGTGATGTTGGGTAATGCCCCCATGTTTTAAGGGTCATGGAGACTCGAGGAAAGCGAGATGCATCCGGTCATCCGGCCGTCCGGTACCGGGCCTTCCCCACAGGACTGGACCGCCGAGTTGTAGAGCACGGCATCCAGAGCTTCTCTGGACTCCCTGACAGAAAATCACTGAGATCCTTGGTGTGCCCTTTTTTGGGCTTGGTCTCAAGGGAAACCAACAGGAAACCATCTCTTTTTCCAGAGGGTTGCCCTATACAAATGGAGGGACCCTTTGGAAAACCATTTTCTGGGTACTGCCATTCGACTTCACAATCCTTGGTCGGCAAGAAAGAAACCCAAGAGGACCTCCGTACCATGTTCCTACCTTTGTAGTTTGGTCATTTCGAGGTTCAGATCAACCCTGTCACACATCGGCGGTGCCCTAAGCAACATGCTCCGAAGGTCCAACTGGGAAACCGAATCCCAGGTCGAGGTCCTGCCGACGCGTTCCAAGATCCGTCTTCGATCATCCACCATGCGGATTTCGGGCATAAATGAGTTTCTGCTCCGAGTCCTTTTTCCAGCAATCGATTTCTGTCACCGTTACTTTTACTTGCTGGTGCTCAGGGAATGACCCGGACTGAACCGAAAGGGGATTCCTCAAAGGACACCATAGAGGCATTCCGTTTTTCTCGGGGCCATTGCGAGTCATTCCACTTCTCGTTCCCTAATCGAACCAGCAAGATTAGCTTTTGCAGGCCTCCAAAGTGGGCGCTCAAAAACCAGACAAAAACAACCAAACATCCCTTGGTTGCCGGCTGACCCCTCTGAAAGAAGTTAAGACTTGTTGCGGGTCCAATTCTGAAAATCGGATCTGCGTCCACCAAAAAGTTGTCAAAGTCCAAAGATCCGTAGCCAAGTAGCCAGACAGATGTTCGGTCGCTGGAAGTCACTGACCAACAGACTCAAAAGCTCCAGCAACGTCTCGTCAAACCGTGTCCGTTCAGTGCCTCACGCTTCGGAACAGCTCCAGCGCCACCTGGCACTGAGTAAAGGAAATATGTGTACATATATATATATACATGGGTCAACATTAAACCACCAAAAAACCGCGGAGTTTAGCGATTTTTTGCCATTTAGCGGGGTTCCATGTTGGGTACCGATCTTTGACCCACACCCATATATGCTGGGCTGCCCTCAGATCCCCCGCTAAAAGCTTAACTTTTAGTGGTTTGAATGGAAACTACCACTAAAAAGGTTAAAAAGCTACACACATCGTCAGCATTTCGCAACGGCCAAGATTCCCCGATTCAACGCCTGGGTGTCGTTCTAGATTGCCTGGACATTCATCCTCATTTGCGCACATGGTTTATTCCCCGAGCGCTACGCCCAGCCAAACCAGTAGTGCCCATACCAAATCTGCCGCGAGTTCCAGCAAGTCTCAGCACTGAGCCAAATCTCAGGCTGATCGATCAGCGCCATGTCCTATAGCCCAAGCCTTCGGATCTGGACTTTCTGCGTCTTTCCCCCCAAATAAAAAGCTAAAACAGTAACATGATGCACTTGAAAGCAGCTTGGGAGGGCATTTGGTTCCCCTTGGCGAATTAGGTAGGCTAGACCCTGGCCCAAAACTGGGGCGGGCCTGGCAGATTCCAAGCGGATGAAGGGAAATTGGGGTGCAGAAACCTTCACCAATTGGAAGCATAAGCCCGCCCGCCCAACTGGGCCCACTAAAACATGTCTCAACGTGACTTCCAAAGGTGAAACATCAACTTCCAAAAGTCATCTTGAGAAGCTCTTGACATGCTGACGTGGGAGCACAACGATCCTCACCTCATGGACAAGGTCTGAACAACTCCTGAAAGAGAAAACGGAAGCCATCGTGCCAAAAGGTTCCTCGTGCCGGCTTGGGCGAGCGAGGGTACGCTAATAAAGTCTAAGCAGATCTTAGGCATGATTTCCTGATGCCATATTGTCAGAGCCATGGCAAAAGAAGTCACGCTACAAGAACATAATTATTTGTTGCAAGTTGAAAACAAGACAACTGCCTTGGCCATGCAGCCAACACACATCGGACTGGGCCCGGTATTTCACCACTGTCACCCAGAGTGGTAGGGCAAAGGGAAACCACCTACCAGTTTCTGACTTTGATAACCCCCCAGAAATTGTCAAAATAATGATCCCAGTCAGACCATGCGATTTGCAGCTTCCCAGATCGCTGACGGGGGAAGTGAAGGCCCCTCAGAAACTTGTCGACTTTTCGCGGACCGAATCGAAGATTGAAAAATCACGAACTTGTTGAGGGTACCTGGAGTCTCCTTGCAAAAATGGAGCCACCCCTTTCTTTCGTGTATCTTTGAAGGGTAGAGACTCCAAGTACCCGCAAAAGAACAAACCCCATTACAACCACAAGTAGCCGTGCCTTTCTGTGCCGGAGTGGGCCTTTTGCTGATGTGTTTTGAGTGTTTTCAAGCAGATGCCAGGAAACCTACCCATCTAAAAGGTCTTCCGATTTTGAGACAAATCGCTGTTGAGGTAAGGTGGTTTTGGAAGAGACAAATGAACAAACCTGAAGAAGATGCAGGTCTGTGTTCTTTGCGAGGCTCGGTACCCTGGTTGGGGTTGGTTTGAAGGGAAACGGAAGGAAAACTAAGAGAAAACCACCAGTTCTGGGGTCACCCTGTTTTGAAGCATACCCATCAGGGCAAATCACAAGATTCGCTTACTGAAGTAAGGAATCTCGAGTAAGGAACCTTCATGGTTTTGTCGCTCGTTCAAGTGAGCTCGTGGTTTGCCCAACCACTTCTTTCGCGCCGCTTCCCTGGAGCAAAGGTCGGCTCAGCCAGAATGGCAAGTAGGATGTGCGGCCATGTGCTGGGTCCTTTTTAGATTGGGTTTTGCGCACAACATTTAGTTTTTTAGAATTTAGACAAGAAGAATCCACTCCTCTAAATTGTCTAGAGTCAAAACAAAACGGAGTGGATCCCTGTAAACACCATTTAGAGGGTAAGTTTGGACGTCACGAGAAAGACCCAGGATGGCCCCGGAGAGTTCTTCACATATCAGCCCTCAGCACCCGTAGCCATCTGTCCCGGGATCTCGCCTCCCACTCGTTCACCTGGCCACACGCCGAGATAGCCACACCTGCGCACTCTGCGGATCTCAACATACCGAGATATCAAGGGCATCCTTATATGTCCCCATCAAACGTCACTCATATATACACTAAATTCACGTTAAACGGACCTAGCCTCTTTCCAACAGTCGAAGAGGAGAGGACGCTGAACCCAAAAGGAAAGCACCCTTCGAAAGGGCTGCAAACTTCCACGTTTGCTGGTGGAAGGCTAAAGCATGACGTTTAAACCAACCAAAACAGGGAGGGAATAACTAATCAATGATGGTAAGGACACCAAGACGCCGCTCAGGGGCATCCGCATGAGGGCGACTCCCTTTACTTTCCCAATCACCACCACATCCACAGTCACACATGTTCACTGCGAGAGATATGTATATGTGTGTATATATATATATAAATATTGTTGCTGGGCTGTTCTGAAGCGTGCACGGCTTCGACGGGCCCCCCTAGAGGCAGAAACCATTGTGTTGAGCCGCTCAATATAGCATACGTGGCTGATTTGCAAGCACCCGGCAAAGCTTGATCCCTGCAACCGATCCTGACCAACGCCAACAAAGGCTTAGCGCGGTGCAGGTGATTCTCAGTTGGCAAGCTGCTCAAATTCACGGCAGTTTGGAGACATGACAACGTTGCAGCCGAGCAAAATCGGCGAAACAGTGCTATCTGCACAGATTACTAGGACTCACATACTGAAAATAAGAAATGCCCACAGGACCACCATCATGGGTAAGCTGGCTAACCACCAGGTGAGCTCGATGCAAATTGCCTAAGTGCTGTCCAAAGTGTTCCCTGACATGCACCAACCAATTTCTGCGAGAAATTCCGCTCATGCCTTTGAGAAATGATCACACCAAAAATTCACATTGATTCCCAAAACATGCTCACCCAAACTGGATTTCCCCTGCCTGGACCTTCGTCCTCCTGAAAAAAAAACGCAGTTTCCGCCTTTGACTGTATATTCGGGAAATCGTAGTACTTTTTACCGCAAAAACCTGAAACTCCTGAAACTCCTAAAAACCACACTATTGGCACTGCTCGCGGCCTTTGACAGATTAAAGAAGCTTTGCAGGGGTAAACGACTTAATGCAGCCCGCAAGTTTGTCAAAACATGCAACGGCGGTCCAAAGTTGTGCGGTGCAGAAAAAGCGTACCCATTTTGACCGCAAAACGCCCGCAAATTTCCGCAAAACTCCCGCAAAAACCCGCAAACTCCCGCAAATCAGAAAAAGTCGTAGTTTTGATGACCAAGGCATCCCATGGTGTTCAGTGGCACGTTCGCAAGTGCTGCGAGGTGTATTTACTTTGTATGGCCAACGTGCGACTGGAAACGATGCAATTCGTATGTGTTTTTGCCCAAATTGTAGCTAAACCACTGGAATTCGGTAAATCGTAGGGGTCTCCTAAAACACCCAGAAATTTCCCGGAGTTTGAAGGTCCAGGTGGGTATGATCGGCATTCCATGTTAGTTTCAGATTCAACCCGCTCACCCTGCTGAAGGGGCACTTTGATCTCAACCAAGCCGCTCGTCGGGATGGCACCAGGATTCAAGTCCTGGCCCGGACACAAACCCTGGAAGTTGGTCTTTTCAATCAATCCTGCCATGGTTGAAAGCCTGCACCCAAGGTGCAAAACTGCGATAAGCTGCGCCCTCAAATGGATGGTAAGTAACATGTCGTTTGCCATTTGAGATGAGCTAACAAGAGTGCGTCTTGATACCATAGCCATATTCCGACCTTTTTGTTTGACAAGTATGCATGGCTTGTATTGCAAACAGCTCATCGATTTTCGGCCAATTCATTCTAATGTCCACTGGCGCCCCCTGCAAGTAGCAGGCCTTGAGCTATGGTGTTTCACTCTAACCTAATTTATATTACAAGAAATTGCTCAGGGAACCTGCGATTTGCATTCCCCTGCATCCTCCCCTAACTCTCTTCTCAAGAGATTGATGGGGGCATCTGCACCGTGACCCAGTGGGCAGAAATTGTTGGGGGTCGGAAGGTGGGGATGAGTGGGTCAAAGGAGCCCCACACTTGGAACACCTGACTTCTGTGCTATGGAAACTGAAAGTGCGGACCATGACTCACCACGAGCAAATCCTTGGGCTGATGACTATCTCTGACCCAAGAGTTGTCTTGAGCGTGGCTACCGGCAAAACTTGGCCTTTGGCCTAAAGTCAAAATGAGATGGGGCGGATTTGGACACAAACATCACAATCAGCCGAAAGGGGATTCAAACCTAAAGCTAAAAGCCTGCTCTCAAAGTGTACCATTGAAGGCCTCCAAAACATAGTGCTGGATTCAAGGCTGCTGCTGCTGCAGTCGTTGCAACCATCCAACTTACTTCAACCCTTGGCCCCAACCACATATGACATGTTAGATGCTGGTCCATATTTTGCGTACATCAAACGATGATATATGTTGATGTATATGGTAGCCGGAAGCCTAGGTGTTCTTCTCTTGTGAAGGAATAGTTTGTATGTATACACATACATGTGCATCTACATATACATAGATATGTCTAGAGGGGGGAGGGGGGCTACGGCCTGGAGCATATATACATATATATAATATGTATACATGTCAGTTGAAAGCCAAAGGACATCTGCATTCTAAAAGACACATTAATATTATCATTTATATATATATATGTATATATATATATATTGATACACATATTTATGTTCCACAACGAGCCGATTACCTGATCGGTTTTGAGTGCCTTCAAGAAGAAAAAACACCAAAACGTGTGTGTGGCTTCCCTTTGACACCCCTTCAAAGTGGAAACAGATCCATCTGCCCTCGAAAAACAACACATTTTGATAGCTACGTGTACGCGCGCTCCTCCCGTCAGGCTTGTTCAACATGAGGGTTATTAGTCACATTCCGCATTTGCGTAGTGGAACACCGCAACAAGGAACTCCAGTACGGTCTTGTGGGCACTGTGACCAGCCCCTTCATCATTGAGGGGTACTTGGACCGAAATGGGTGGTTCCTGAACCACTTCATGGGTAAACCTAAATTCCGAAATTGGACAATTTCATTGGCAAAACCTAAACAGGTTCTAACAAACTTGCCGGTGCTCAGTAGGGAATGACCCCCAGGACTCCTAAACAGGAAACCTCGGGGATGGTTTTTCCCGGGGTCGTTCCATTTCTCATTCCCTGCCTATCGAACCAGCAAGAAACGGGTCCCTAAATCGGATGCCACACATTGCGAGCGGAACCCGTTCACAACTTCCAGTTACTTGAGTCCACCGGAAAAAAGGAGAACATGTTTCCAATAGTGAATCGACACCCTTAAACACTAGAGAAAAACGAGCAAACATTAATGTCAGCAAAAGGAATCGAATGCAAGAACCTACAACACGACGAGTCAACGCCCCCAACTCTTAAGCAAATCTTCCATTTGGTTAAGACCCCTGGAACAAATATAAGCAAATCCAGTAGTGATAGATTCCCTTTAAAACCAGGGGAAAATGAAAATTACTCATTTCAGCAAATGGAAGACTCGATGCGGCCTCTCGGTGCATCTCTTCCAACAAGTTCACGGCGAAGCGCCAGAGCTTGGCGCTAGCGCAGGCTTGGATCTCAGCGGGTGTTGTTCAAAAAGAAAACGACACATGCAGGACACTGCCTTCTGATATACATACATCTATATATATATATATAGATGCTAACCCATCCCCCCCCCCAGGTCCTACCTTTTCGGTACAAATCAGTTAAAACATTGTCATTTTTTAAACAGGGGCCCACCTTTTCTCTACAAACCACTTAAAACACGGTCATTTGCAAAAAAGGGAGTTGGTGATAACTATACATGCACATATATGTATAATATATATACAACAAGTATAACATGTTGCAAACATGGTATGGGTAGATGTCATCTGCCTGCAGCCTTGTCATCAACAAACTGAGTCTAGTCAGTCCCTCTTTCCTTGGGCATGTCAGAAGAGGGTGCCCTCATCACCATGGAGGCAGCGCTGGATGCCACCAACGCACTCATCTTGAAGACCCTCACCGCTCCCAACGTGGTGGATCTTCCTCGAGGGCATGTTTCACCGCCAGATCTGCCCCTACAGCCTGTGCACAACCAAGCCAAGCTCGGGCATGTCTTCGACATGGTCGGCATAGTGAACTTCGACTTGGATCTCAAGGCGCAGATCACTCGTGCTGCCAAGGAAGGTCGCTTCCACGACATGCCTGAGCCCTTTTGTCTGAAAGTCTCTCCAGAGATGTCATACGGTATGCAGCTGTATGTCTTGTCTACATCTGATGGTCAACACTTTTTGATGAAGCACATCTTTCTTTCAGACAGAGTCAAGGGCGAGTTCGGAAGCTCCTTGTGCTACGGCGAGCCTCGCATGCTGGACTGGAACGGCAACGCCAAGAACCTCAAAAAGTCTGTGCAGTACATGCTAGAGAAAATGGGAGGGTTCCAGGTTCAAAGCTTCATCTTGCAGGCAAGTGTGGGGTCGGCAGGTGGAGAAGCCAAAGGCTCGTTCTTCCAGGGGATGACAGAGGATGACATCGATCAGGGCTTTAACTTCATCGAGAAGTACGGCCCACGCTCACATCACTCCAACACCCAGCTGCGGTGGATCTCAAAGCAGCTGGCTTCCTAAGTACAGGTTTCGAGCTCCAGCTTGAAAATCGCAACTGTGTAGTACAAGTCTAGTACGCAAAGTACAGGCTTTCAGCTCTAGCTGGACAATCGCAGCTGTGTAGCGCAAGTCTAGTGCGCGAAGTTCCAGCTCCGGCTGGAAAATCGCAACTTTGTAGTACAAGTCTAGCGCGCGAAGCGCAGGGGTCCAGCTCCAGATTCAAAATCGTAGCTTTGTAACAACAAGTGGAGCACTCAAAGTACAGTTTTACAAGCTGAAAACCATAGTTTGCGCAGTAGGCTTGATTGCGAGCCCCATTGGCTTATACCGAACAATGTTCTCTCTAATTATTTTCTTGGGCTTGCGCAAAGTGATGTGCATTCGGGTTCGTGGCTTCTATCAGGTCTTTTTTTCCGGCGGTTTGCGCCTGTGACTAGGACTATCCTTAACCTTCACAGTACCCGGGTTTTGATTGGGACTCAGCGAGTTGTCATAGCTGCGGTCCAAATGTGGACTCTCCGCAATGCACATGAAATGGGGGCGGCTCAAAATTAAACAGGAGGGGTTACGCGGGTTTTGGTCCATGTTTCCACTTACCAGGGCTCCATTTTGGTACCGGTTTTTTGAGCCGCAGCCAAATGTAGTGAGCTCCCCCAGGTCCGAGGCCCAAGAAACCCCAATAGGCGAGTCGGAATGGCCACGTTTCGTTTTTTCTTGTTTCTTGGAATCCGTTTTCTTTGGGGGCTGGTCAAAATGGATCTTCAAAGATATTGAGTTGGGATCTTCGAGGATGTGCTTCATTGGAACAGCCCAAACGTTTCCTTAATGTCAACTCTGGATTCACTCGGAGGATCAGAGGAATTCCTCAATGATTGATTCACATGGGTTCTCGGATGCTACACTGATGAGTGTTGGAAAGGTGCCAGCGATCGCAACCCGCTTCTTAGAACTTGTTGAACGGGGGTTCCTACAAATTGTATTAAATACCAGGCCTGAAAGAGCTACGGTTTTTATCGTCCGTGAATCCCCAAACCTTTGGATGCGCCAGGTATCTTGGAATGAACGCTTGCACCGAGGGTGAACCTGAGTTCCTCACTTGCCCAAAGGACCTGACAATTAAAAAAGGTGATCACCTTTTGGGACCTTTACTGAAAATATGCCAAAAAGGGAAAGCCAAAAGGTCAAAAGGTCAAAGGCCTGTGAACAACAGGAAAACAAAAAGGACCAAAGAAAATGGACCAACAAGGGAAACCCCGACAAAAATGTCAGGTCGATTCGCTTTGAACCACTGAGCTCTTCAACTTTGCGCCAAGTCACCGCTGTGGTGAAGCTAATCGCATCCTTCTGCAGCTCAGCCTGTCTAGCTTCCCGGGCATCCCGCATTTTTTGAAGCTGCTCGGAAGGGCATCCAGTGATTCATGCCCAAACCACCCACTGCCGGCGTACCTTCTCCCGATCTGCAGTTTAGAGTTGGTACGTTGAATGTCTTCCTAAATTGGATCCAAACTCAGACACTCTCAGCGGAAACTGATGACTGTGATTAAACCGGAGAAATCCTAATCCGCATCTCGCACAAGGATTAAGGCCTTTTTTGAATGGCCCAGTACCGGCTAAAGTACTTGAACCCCTTTTTGCCCTCTTAAGACCCTCTGTGAAAGGTTTTAACGGCAAATAAAAAAGGGGTGGCTCAGAGCCCAACTGAGACCCATTCATGGGGAGAATAAGGGTACCCTTGTTTCTGCAGTCTATTTTAGTAGGGGAACCCTCCCCCAAAAGGGGTAAAAGGGCACTAGTGGGGGACCTAGGGGTACTGAAACCTCACACAATTTGTGCAAAGCCCGAGCGAAACAGCACCAGCTCCGCGCCATCTTTGTGGCTGAATGCTCCACGCCAGGTCCGATCCGCTCGGGCTGCAACAAAAAACAAACATGAGCGACTCTATAAACCTCCCATGAATCCCTATGTTGCATCAAGTTGCTTACGCGCGAGCTTGCGCTTCCTTGCGCGACCCATGTTTTAGCTTACGCGGCCGCCAGCGAGCATGTTAAGCTTACGCATCGCTTACGCGTCGGCGTGTTGAGCGTTTCCCCTCAAGAATTGCTTACGCGGGCTCCTTTTTCCATGAAGCCTCCAGAACTGTTCAAGATGATGTGGATGACCCTGAGGAAGAAGATGACGAAAAACTACCCTCACGAGTTTCAGCGGCTTGGTGCTGGTGTTCTTACTGCAAGTCAAGAAACGGGTTATGTGGCAGCGGCATCTATTGGGAGGGCTAGCGGGCAGCCGAGCTAGGCGAGCTTACGCAAAGTTTATGCGCCTGCTAACGCGAGCTTACACGCCCGAGCCCCTTTTGCTTTCCTACATCAACGGCTTCACAAGCCTTTGTTTGTCCTAGTAAAGGTTGCGACAGCACCGAGCATGAGCCCCAAGAGCTCCCAATCAAAGTTCTGCTGGCTTTGCTTTCTAATGGTTCGCACATGCGGTCTTAGATGTCTTCCTGCAGCCGAAGTCTCCGGGCAAGTTGTCAAGCTCGACCAGCTTGCAACAGCACAAGCCACCAATAAACAGATAAGCACATCTGACAACTCTTCCGAGCATGATTGCAAAGCTTACCAGGCAATCACGAAGAGGAGCTTACGCAGGTGCTTACGCAGCATGTTTCCCCAAAAAGTGCTTACGTCGGCTTACGCCGTGCAGGGTTTTGCTTTCTCGGGGCCTGGATATGACACAACTCTTGCTAGGGATGTAATGTTTCTTGTTTTCGAGCTGCTCACATGGGTACGTGCTCAAATTCTGTGGTGAAAACTCCCAACAATGCCGATGGCCATGTTTGCTTGGATCGAAACCATTCTCTTGGCCTAAGTTCCCGGAGGTGTTGAGGACCATCCCAATACCCAAAAGCGTGGTGACCATGGCACAAATTGGCTTTGGCCGCCAAGGCTCTTCTACCTTTAGTTGGCTACTTTTCCGATGAAACCAAAAGAACGCATTGGACCAACAGCGGGATGTAGAACCATGGCAGCCAGCACACCTCACGCACCTGTCCAAGCATAGCTGGACCACACAAACTGAAACCTGCACCAATCCCAACTAAAACTGGACTTGGTTGCTGACAAGAGCCTCCCGCAGTATCCTCGCTTCTTTGGGTTTCTCTAAGTACCAGGTCCATTCAAATTAATGAAACATCAACCAGAAAGCACAACCAATGCAAGCATTCCGCAAGCAGAAAGAGCCGGACCCCAAGAAAGGCCCAGCAAGTAAAGCGAGGGAGGGTACTTCAAGACAACATCGGCCATGGACTGACAGCAGCTGGGTCCAACATCTTGGATGCATGCTATCCTCCGCTTCCAAATTCCCGTGTTTGCCTAGTCTAAACATGGCCGTGGGTAAAACATACTGTGGATGGACACAACCCTGCACCACTTTGAAACCATGGGAAACCCTTGCTTGTTGGTATTTACAGGGGAGCCATCATTCTAGGGTTTCTTAGGTGGTGCAGGATTTCGTCCATCCACAGTGGGTTCCCAAAATGGAACCCTAGTAAATGGAACCCATGGCTAAAACCTGTGGTCTGCAGCGTGTTGCTTGAATGCCTTAAGCACCATTGTGCTATGGCATAGGAACCAGCATGAGCGACCTCACGACTTGCCCCGTTGGAAGAACATTCAAAGACTTCCCCCACTGACCCCTCCGGGATCAAACCCCAAGGAAGAATTTGAAGGTCAAACCTTCTTTAGAGCTGATCTACCCCGAACCCTTCTAAGGGGTCTAGTGGTACCACCTTTCACCTGTTCTCGCTGAGGCAGGGCATTTGCGCCACCATTCCCTTTGATGAAAAAAGCGGCGGACGAACAAAACGGAATGAGCTTCAAGATTCCTGATAGTTGCAATCGTCCGTATGGTCAGCTCTGAAGTTGCACACGGAATTCGCAGGAGCTGAACACAAAAAGCCAAAAAAGCCATTCAGACATGTGATGGCAACCTAAAATGACAAGGGAACGGTAAGGCAATCCAACTTCCCGGCGATTCCAATTCCGAATTCCTAGACGTTCTGCTTCTCAAGGCGTTTGTGGCGTTTGCAGTTTGAATGTTTCGCGCCTATGTTTTAGGCTTTCTCTGGGCATCTTGCGTATGTGTGCGTTGTTTTAGGATTTTTGTGTGGGCATGTTGCGATGGTGTTGCGGCTATTTGCGGCCGTTGCCTTGTTCAAGGAGTTGGCGCGGTTGCGTCCAAAACAGTGTCAATGCCGAGAATAACTAGGAATTCCTTAATGACAGAATCTCCAAGTTGTATAGAAGCAACCGCCAAGACATTTTATTTTTTACATTGTTAGTGCTCAGCAGGGAATTGAGGGAATGACCCCTATAAACCATCCCACCAGTGGCTTCCTTTAAGGGAATCGCTAGGTTCATTCCGACATTCCCTACCTATCGCACCAAACAATCAACAATTCCTCCAATCACAGCGTATTGGACTTATCATCCGACTTAGCGCATCGATGACTTTGCCTCCCCGAAGTCTTGCCAGAGCAGCAAGGCACGCCTGGGTCTGAACGACGGGGGGGGGTGCACGATTCCGGGCTGTGTCTTGGGGTACCCCAAAACGACGAGGCACCATATTGTAGCAGCCCAAACTTGCTGGTGCCTAGTAGGGAATTACCCAGGGTTTGGGAATGAACCTGGGGAATCCCTTGGAAGCCACCAGTTGGATGCTTTTTTGGAGGTCATTTCATTTCTCATTCCCCACCAATTGCACCAGCAAGTTGCTTTTCCGAATCCGTGGGAAACCACTGTACCTGGCATATGGATGGGTTGCTGTTGAACAGCCTGACGAGCAATCGACCTCTGAGATGTCTGGCTCACACCGCCAGCTTCCAGCAGAAACTGCTGGATCCGTCGACTCAGAAAACATCATGTCTTGGGTATCTGAAAAAAAGCTACGGGGACCCCAACAAACTGTTTCTTATGCTTTCGCGTTGGCTTCCCTATAGCACTAGAAACAAAAAAAAGAAGAAAAAAACACCTCTCAGTTGGCACCCCGAAAATCAGCTTCTGCCTTAGCGGCAGCTGCAGCTGGACGAGCTGGACAGGTTCTCATCTCAGGGGCCCAGGGGCCGAGCGCCCAGTGCTCCGGCGTCAGCGACTTCATCACGGAGGATACCGTAATGGCCTGCCGGCCGCCCCGCACAGCACCCGGAGAGGCTTTGCTTCCAGGTTAAGGCCCCAGGAAAAATCATATGTCCAGTGGAGATGAACTCCTTGTATAACAAGGGAAGCTTAAACATATTCTTAAGCAAATGGAGGTTTGACGGTGGATCCCAAGCTCCACACGGAATGCGGGCGCCTGAAAAAGCCAAGTTGAGGGCGCCCCAAAAAACATGACTGAAAAGGGGGGGAGGGTCCCTGTGAGCCACCAAACCACCATTTGGAGGATAATTGTTGAGAATATCGCTTTCATGGACCCGGACTGAGGCCCTTGGCAAATGGATCTGAAGGTTGATTCCGCATCTTCTGAAAAATACGAAAAACAACTCTGGAAAGAACAGAACAGGGGAAGTACAGCTCAAGTATCGGTGGAGATTGAAGGTGGCAAGCGTGTTGCCCAGAATAGAAAGGACAACTCAAGCTCGAAACCCTTGGTATGCATGTTAGCCAATGGCTCCGATCCTGATCAAAGTAAGTAGACCCACAAACTCTGACGTGCCCAACCCTTGGTTTTAAGGTGTGCAGGCAAATAAGCTATTGCTATCAGTTCCGCTTGGGGACTGGGACAGTTTTTTTTTCTGGCCAAGCTGTGCTGATGCAAACGCTCATTTCGGCCAACCACGTGATGCATTCCATATGACTCGGGGAGCGGAAACTGATGGCGTGGGTGAGTTGAAGCGGCTGTCGGTTCGGCTTGCCAGTCTTCCAGTGCTTCTGTTAACGCTCCCCTGCATTTTTCAACCTACCCAAAGACGGGGGGTCCCACAAAAGGAGCTGGCGGCTGTTCAGGGTCCGTGCTCATTTGCCAGCGTGTATCACGTAACCGATGGCCTGTGCCTGCATGTCTCGACAAGTCTGCGGATAAGGCACTTGGCTAACCAGCACGTAATAAACGGCCACGGGGCCACGCCTCCAATTCAAAACTGGGGGTTGCACGTGGGTGTCGACGTTGCCATGTGCCTTCGCCTTTTGTGCATCTTTTGCTGCGTCTCTCCTCGCATCTGTAATTATGGTGCCTGGCATTTGTTTTTCTCTCTCTCTCTCTTTCTCTCTTCTATGTGTGTGTGTGTGTTTGTGTGTGTGTATGTGTGTCTGCACTCACCTTGAACTTGTCAAGGAGCACTGTTGGGCGGGTGTTGAACGATCAGCCGACACCAGCTGTTCTCCCTCTCTCTCTCTCTCTCTCTCTCTCTCTCTCTCTCTCTCTATTTTTCTCTCTCTCTCTCTCTCTCTCTCTCTCTCTCTCTCTCTCTCTTTGCGGGTGTGTTTGCATATTATGCATTGTCCAAAAGCCAAACATCCAAACTATCAGATAAAGTTCATAGTTGTTTAAGTGTATGCAAGCTAACCAAACGGCACCACACAAGCACGCGATAACTCTTTTATCCGAGCAGTGTGTTGGTGCCAGGGACTCATCTTCCCCTGTCAGATGTCAACGGCTGGGTGGGCCCCACGGGCCACCCACCTCAAACTCTCAAAAACTGAAGAACGGGTGTGCAGACTGATAGCGCCCGCCCCTGAGCCGGGGCCCAGGCCACAGGGGGGTCTGCCACCAGGGGAAGTGAGTCACCCACCGGCTCCGGTCACGGGAGCATGGGTGGGCCCACGCTAAGATCAAATGCATCTCCATTCAGGAGACGCGGGAGAAAAATGAACTCCTCGCAGAGTTCCTGTTTGGGGACCCTGTTCAAAGGGTCGAACCCAGAGAAATCTGGGTGCGTCAGTTCATCAGCCCACTGGTTGAATTCCCGGGGCACGTGGTTGGCCGCCAGCGAGCAGCCATGGGTGTGGAGCAGGAAGACCAGCTCCATCAGGATAGCCGCGGTGTAGGGCTTCTTGGATCCAAGGTTGAGCATCGCCATGACGTTGCCCTGATTGTCACTGCCCACCGGGAGTCGGACCCGGGAGGACAGAGGGCCTTGGTGCGTGAGGATCATGTTACAGAGGAAGAGCGTGCCCAGCATTTCCAAAGCCGCAATCCTCCGCTTGGGATCCCCATTCTTGAATGCCCAAGGATACTCCTCCGCGTGGATCTGCTCGTGGAACCAGTACACCTCCTTCTTTTCCGGCTCCATTTTGTTGGAGCACCATCCTCCCACAAATGCCAGTCCTTCGTCCGAGGCGCTAGCATCGCTGCAACCCCACCAAGAGGACTTCGGCAAGTAAGGGGAGTACTGGACGAAGGGCGTGTTGAAGAGGAACCGCAGCATGAACGCCAGCATCCTGACCACCTTGGGGGGTTTCCCCACCGTGGTGGTGGCCATCTTCCAGGCCCAGAGTGGCTGGAGCATCGACTTCGCCAGCGGACATGCAGCAGTGGCCCATTGGATGCGGCCCAGGGCCTTCTCGATGTCCTTTGAGTGCATCGCCTGCCCTTCCACCATGGTCTGCAAGACCTCCATGACCAGGATGTGTTTGTTGGCGGCCATGAGAACCTGCGGGATGTTCGGGTGGACCACGAAGCCCAGCCACGTGTTGACCTCCGCCAAATGTGTCTTCTTCCAACTAAGCGGGGTGCCCAAGGCCAGGAGTGTGGCCAACAGCGCCACCGCCAAGTTTACTGCCCCCTCGCAGCCACAGGAAGTCATCCACAAAGACGAAGTTCCAATCCACTTGAGGGAAAAGTGCGTAGAGGACCCGGAGTAGAAGAGCTGCCAGGCGTCCCCAGTAGGATTGGGCACTGGCCATGCCGTATGTGCCGACCTTGTTCACCCACCATTCTTCCCCCAGTGAAGCCACCTGGAACCGCCAGTCCTTCCTGAGGACCTTCACTCTCCGGTGGGCCTTGGTGACGTCCGCCTTGAGCAGCACCCACTTGGTGCCTGGCTCCGGCCATAGCCAGCCCCCAGATGTGACCCGTCGAGAGCGACTCCTGGAGCTTGTCCCCCCATGGCGAAGTGAGGACACAGATCTTGGCCCCCATCACTGCTGCTTTGGACAGTGGCCGAGTCCACGGGGCCAGCCGTCCCAGTGAGGGCTTCCCACCCCATCCCGTAGGGGGCGCTGTTTGAAGGCCATCTGGAGGTACATCACCTTGTCGGAGAGATTCGGGTCGTGCGTGATCGGCAGGGTGGTGGGCCGATCCGAGATCTCCATGCAATGGCGTGCCCATGGCTCAGGGGAAAGAGTTCCCCCCGAAGTTCGACCATCCCCCCAGCCGGCTGTGCTGGTGTCCGGGCCTCCGGACTGTCTGATGCCGAGACCGGAAGTGAGCCCAAGGTTAGTCCCGCCAACGCTTGTTGGCCGGCCACCAGCCTCCGGGACTGGCGCTTGTTGTCCCCCGGCGTGCTGGGAGAAGGTTCCCTCTGTCGCCTCGGGGGGGTCGTTGGGTTCGCCTGGGGCACCATGCCCCCCGGCCTCAGCGCCTCCAGGACGGGTCCCGCTCTGCAAAGGATGGCCGCTGCGAGACCCTGCATCATCTGCTCTGGATACCGGCTGAGGTCACTGGAGTTGAGCTTTTCCCCTCTGGGGTGAGCTCCGTGGTTGCATCGCAGATCATGCCAATGGTGAAGGGGAAGGTCCGTTGACAATGTCGTGGACTTCACTACCACCTGACCCAGGCGGCACTCGTCAAACTTGATGAGGGAGTGGTGGAGTGCGTTCGCCCATTGAATGTAGGCCCGTGTGACCCAGATCGATGAGCACCTCGCTGCACTCGGGCTCTTGCTGCACTCCATTGCCATGGGTGCTCCAAGAACGAGGAGCCCACCTGCGGGACCGTTAGTTGACCCAGCCCCAGGTAGGCCAGCAAGGTCAGGTACATCTGTCGGAGCATGAGCACGCTGTCGTTGTCCGTGTCCTCCATTACCCGGGGCTCCACTTCCTGCGGGCCACCCGGTTTGGGGAACCATCTGAGAATGCTCCACGTCCTGCAGTTGGGGCCGCCCCCCACAAAGGCGACCTTGCCCGCCATGGCCATGGAGCACATCGTAGAGTACGGCTCCTCTCCAAGCATGTCCTGCCCAAGATCTCCACTCTTTCGCCTGATGTCCACTGCCCAAATGTACTCCGAGAAGGCCGGGTTGTAGGCATGGAGGTAGGCATCCAGGGCCCCCGCATCATCCTTCCCAGCGTACAGCAGGATGAGGGACGGCTTTGACGACTCCGGCACCGGACGTGGCGTCCACCTCAGTCTGAGCCTCAGTCTTTCCGGAGTATCCTGCATCCATGGGAAAGTGGGGGTTGCCCTTTCTAGGGATTCCGTGTGTCCTTTGTCTGACCCTCCGGTCCTCTGTCCCTGGGCTTGCTGCTTGCCCTGGCGGTTCTGCCCGCCCTTGGTACGCCCCTTGCCGGGCGGATCCTCACCTCTGGGTCTCTCTGGGGGTTCTTCCCACTGCCTCGGTGGGTGCGGGGGAAAGGGGTGCTTCCGCCCTTCTGGAGTGCCCTGGCTGGGTCCGCTCCTCTTCTTCGGTGGAGGGGCTTCCGGGGCCGGTGGCACCCTGGAGAAATCCCCTCCCACCTGGGGCCGTCCTGGCCTCCCCCGCTCTGTCTGCCTTCCGCTGTGGCTCTGGTGGGGTTGGCTCTCCCCCGCTGTGTGCACTCTCGCACTGGTGGCCTGTGATCCCAACGGAGACCAGGAAGCCACGGGGCCTATGGCACCCTGAGTGGCCTCCTGTCACTTGGGAAGGTGTGGGCATGCCTGTGGCACATGCTTCGATGGGGGGGCATCACACACCCACCTGACCGGGCAGTTGTGGGATTGGCCGCATGAATACGAACACTTGTTGTGAAGGTGATGATTTTTTGCAGTACGTAGCCCTTTGGGATTCTTGAAGGCCCAGTGGTCCGGCCATGGGGTCGAGGGGGTGTTGGGGGACTTCCCCTTGCCGCCTTTGCCCTTCGGCTTGGATCGGGGCGGCCCCGAGGGCCAGGATCCCTTTCCCCCCTTCTTGGGCTTCTCCCACTGAGTCTGCCACACCTTGGGTGCCTTGCTCTTGCTCTTCCCCTTCTCCGGCGCCCTGTTGA